GATTATTGATTTTAAATTAAAATTGAAGTAAGAATCAAATATGAAACATTTAATTTGAACTATTTATATTTTATGTAATATATTTATTAGTTTATTTTTATATTTTTTAGATATCAAATGCCATAAAAATATATATCTAAAATATTGAGCCAAATTAAAAAATTAACAGGGTTATAATAAATTTAAATTGATGCAAAGTATTTGTTTTATTAATTTAAATTATTTTATTTTACTTTATTATAAATTATTTATTAATATATAATTATACTTCTAGTAATTGTGATATTGAAAACTAAGGATTTTAAGCAATTTAAGATTAATTTAAAAACTTTTTGAACATTAAAAGTTTGAGCATTTTTTTATGGTAAAAATCTAAATTATAATTATAAGTTATAATAATTTTGTAACAAAAAATTATAATTAAATAAAAGTTTCAATTTTATTGACTAAAATAGTTTACGAACAATTTCTTTTTTATAATTTAAATAATTAAATGAACTTTCTCTAAGCTTTTGGAGTAATCCTATATAAAATCAAGGCATATAGTACCTATCTTTAGCAATTTAAGAGTGTAAAGATCTTACATTATTATCTTTGGATTTATGGTTATAATAATTAATATTATATCAAAGCATTAAATTAATTAATATATTTAAAATAAGTAATACATAGTTTGATTCAGAAGGTGCATATTATTTATCTTCTATTTTCAATAAAATAAATAAAATAAAATACTTAAATTTTAATATAAGCATAAATAAATTACAAAATGAAGGAGTTAATAACATATTTTAATCATTGATAAATTTGCAATAAATAAGTGATATTAAAATTGATTTATATGAAGTTTTTCTTACTGATATAAAATAAATTATTAAATTTATAGAAAATATGTAAACAATTAATCAAATATATTTAAATTTAGGATCCAACGATATTTCTAATGAACAATTAAAAAAACTTGGTTAAATATTGGCATTAAATAAAAGCATTTAATAAATAACCCTTGTTTTAAGAAACATAAATATTGATACTAAAGATGATGATATAATGCTAAGAAATATTTAAATATAACAAAAATAAATAATTCATAATATATAAACTGAAGATTTAAGCTATTATAATTGAAAAAAATTAATTTAAAAATATAAAATAATTCATATATTAATTGTAAAAAAAAATTAATAAATAAATAATTTTAAAATTTTGTGTTCAGTAATTAGATATAAAAAATTAAAAATATAATCTTACATCCGAAAACAAAAATTATCATTAAAAAGTAAAATCTTATTTTGTATTTGTATAAATATCTTATTAAATTTATTAATAATAATATGATTATATATTTATTCAATTTATATCGAATTAATTTTTACAGATAAATGTGTTGCAAAATAACTAAGTTTAGTTAATATAATAATTTTTTTATCAAACCATTTCTTTGAAAAAAAAAAAATGTTTAAAAAGAGCTGATTTAATTATAATATATTAATTAAATAAGATATTAAAAAATTATAATATATATTTAAATTGCTAAAATTATAATCATAATTAATGTTAATATAAAAATATAGTTAAAAATAAAAAGATATATAATAAATTATTTAAATAATTAATATACAGATTTAAGATATTAATTATATCAATAAAAAAGAAAATATACATTTAATTTATATAAATAAGATAAACATAATTTTAATGCAAAAAAATAATAATAAAAAATTTAATAGCAAATATATTTATAAACTAGATATTAATAAATGTTATACAAATTATGAAAATTTTTAATATATTATATAATTATTTTATAATTAATAAAAGATACTTATAATTTTTTAAAAAAATTAATAATAAATAAAATATAATAATTATTTTAGATATATTAATCAAATATATAAAATATAATTAGTACTTGTTTCACGTATTAAAATTGATTTATACTTTTTTCTATATATTTAAAATTAAATTAAATTTTAATGACTAAATTATTATTTGAAATCTTTTTTAGTTAAAATTTAAACATGATATTTTTAAATATTAGCAATTATTAATAAATTATTTTGTTAAATTAAATGAATTTATTTTGCAGATTAAATAATTTAAAATATGAATTTAAATAGGTTAGTTCCATTTAACTTAAATATAATTTATTTTATAAATTGAAATAATTAATAGATGCTTAAATAAATTAATTTTGTATTTAATATTATTTAATATGTATATAAAATAAATAAAAATTTTCAATTTATTAATATTTTTTCTATTAATTTTATTATTTATATTAATTAATTTTTAATTTTTTTTCATAATTATCTGTTTTTTATATGTAAAAATATTTATATAGATACTAAAAATAAATTAAATATTAATTAATTAAATAAAAAATATTGAAATTTAATATAAAAAGAAATTAATTTAACATATATTATATTAATATGCCTTATTATAACTTTTAAAAAAATGTAATCACATTAATTTTAATTTAATTAATTTTTTTAATAAAGAATAGAAATATAAAATCTTTTAAAAGATTAGCATTATTATTAATCTAGTAAAAATATACTCTAAAAAATTAGCAAGAAGAATAAGAACAGTTAGGAAAGTCAATACTTACTTAAGTAGATTATTAAAAGTTTATGCAATAAGTTAAAATAATAAATGCGATTAAAATTGAAATAAGATTGCTTCATTTATTGGAACTTATAATAATAGGAATCAAAATCTTTACATTAACGACGAATTATCTGACACTCTGTCTTTTACTGGTTTTGTGATATTAAAATATTATGAAATATCCATATATTAAAAAGTTACAATAAGCATTGGAAATATCGAAAATGATGTTATTCTTAATGTGAAAAAGACTATGTTTGCTAATAATTTTTATCACCTTATTTCTTAACTTAAGTTGGTAAATGTGTTCTAATAGAAAATTTCCCCCCCAAGTTTTATTACCGAAAAATATAATACTTTATGCACGAGTTAAAATCTTCTCAACTTTTTAAATGCAATGTTTACGAAAGTAAAATTTTTATTTCATTATCGAAGGCGTATAGCATCTCCAGAATTTTTCGATAATTCCAAAAAGCATTTATTTTGTATAATTTTGAAGATTTTTTGAGTGCGAAGAATAATAAAGATTTACACAATTTTATAATTGCTATTTTCTTCTTGTAAAAAAAACTTATACATGTATGTAAAAAGATGAATTCCGAGAGAAAACATAACCAGATCCAACAAAAAAAGATACTTAGATTATAAAAGTTTTTAATGTTAAATATGTAAATTAAAATCTTAGTATATTTTTCCTTTTGCAAAAACATGTATCGAAACTAATTGCTTAATTTGTTATTACAATTAAAACGTAAAACAGAATATATATATTTCTAATGTTTCTTTTGGTCATTATAATATCAAAGTATATGATCTTTGCAAAAAAGTTTTCTTCTTTTTTGACTCGTAACGTTTTTGATAATGACCTGTGGTTAATTTTGCAAAGCTTAATACAAGAATGTATCAAAAATATAGTAATTAACAAGAATTTACAAAATGTATTTATAATCAAATTTATTCGTTTTATTCTATAATTTATAAACAGTTATAAACTAAATTTCTTTTTACATAAATATTCATATAAATTTTCTTTTTAAATTTAGAGTATTGTCCTAAGGAACTTATGGAAAAAATTATAAACAAAATATAAACAAGTAAATGCGAAAAATTTAAGAAAACTGCATTTCTTTAACATCAATATTAACATTTGACGATCGTTAAAAATCCTTTTAAATATATTAGATGAAGTAATGTCGTAATGTCTTTTATAATTTTTTCTCAAATAAAAAATAAAAGTGTAAAAGTTATATTTAACATTTTGATAAATAATTAATCGAACTCCATCCAATGTGATATTAGTTAAGGCGCTTATTTGCAAACTCCAAATTTTAAATTTACCCTTTAATATCCCAAAAGTATTTTTTTTTTTCTAAAAAAACTGTCGAAATTATATAATTCGATATAATTTAGAAATGTCTAAATGGCGAATCATGTGCTTTATGCTAAAATTTTTTTTTTTTATTTAAAAATTAGAGTTCTTTGTTTATTTAAATTTTCTATGAAGGATTTGCCGCTGATTCAAAATCGAAAAAATGTTAAGAATTTGGCTGATGGAGACTCCAAATTTTAATTTAAAAGTGTCTTTTCCTAATTTGCTTAAGGTTTTTACCTAAATTTTGACTCTTCCTAATGTTTTAAATAATTTAAAGTAGACACTTATAAGAATATGATATAAATATAATGAAAATTTTGAAAATAAAAATGATACTCAGAATGTAAATTGGTTGAAAAATGTATTAAATACCATCTTGTTTGCTTTATGTATTAAGATAAATGCATCTAAGTATGTCATTAAGCTTTTCATGGAGACAGATGCTAAAATATATGCGTTTAATGTTAAAGTGATATCAAATATGTTATAATAAGGCCTAAATATGTGAAAGTTGTAAAAATATGTATTCCTTTTAAATAAAAGGTATCCTTAAATGTCCTAATTATAATGTAAAATAAAATTGTTTTGCTTAAAATGTAAAAGTTTGAATGTGTAAATGTGCATGAAATTTAAACGAACTTTAATTTTAATTTTGCTTTAATTAAATAATTCTAATAATAATCCAAATTTAGAGAAGGTTTATATTTTAAACTTTTTAGAAATAACTATTTATAATATAATATTTTAAATTGCGCTTAATGTGATATTTTTTTACATAAACTTAATATATTGAAGGATTCTTTGCTATAAATATCTTAATCTTTTTATAGTTTAAGCACTCGTTTTAAGTTTCGTTTTTAAATAAAAAATTAAAATGTTTATAAATTATTAATTTTTATAGATATATATATAAATTTATATTTGTGAATAACTTTATTATTATTATTATTTTATAAATAATATTTATGTTTACTTATTTTTTATATATAATTATTTTTATAAAAATTTTTTTTGTTCAAATGTGCTTTTCCATTTCTTAAATAAATTCTTCTCCATCATTATCTTCTTAAAACTTGAAAAAAAATTAATAATAAAATGTGTTAAAAAAAAAATACTTAAAGTTTAACAATTTAAGCTTAAGGCTTTTTATCTTCTGAAAATGAAATACAGGTAACTTTTATATTTTTTAAATTATCGCCAATTTTGCTAACTTTGCTTAATCCTTTATAAATATTCGCTTAATAAATGATTTTCTTTATTTAATTTCTAAAAAAATTTTTAAAAATTATAATAAATAAAAATAAAAACCTATAAACAAAGGTAACAGGAGCCGATTCATTATCTTTTAATTTTTCAATAGAAACAAAACCTTTATCAAGTACATCATTTGTCATTAATTTAAATTTAGTAACATTTTTTTCGAATAGCTTAACAAATGGTTCTTCATATTAATACTTATTTTCTACCTTAGTAACATCAGGCTCTGGACTTGCAGTATTAGGCTCATCATCATCTTCACCTCCGTTATCATCATCAGAGCATCCGCCCTCTTTCTTTTTTTATCCGAACAAATCGTTATTATTATTATTTGCAGCTAAATTTCCAAAAAGACCTCCTGTAATTTACTAATTAATTGGCATATTTCCAAAAAGACCTCCTGCATTTGTGCCAGTAGCAAAAATATTTGGAATACTTGTATTATTAGTATTTTGTCCATTATTAGTAAATAAACCTCCAGAAAATAAGGCACCTGTATTAGGAGGATTATTTGAAAATAAAGATCCTGAAAATAAAGAAGGACTAGAATTATTATTATTACTAAACAAGCTAGAGCCAGGTGTTATATTTATGTTTCCAAATAAACTTGACTTTTATTGTTTTTCTTCTGTTTGTTTTTTCTCAGATTCCCTTTATTTTTTTATTTGTTATTAATTTATATTTTAATTTTAACTATTTTTCGGATTATTCTTAGAGCTTTTTATCTCCGTTTTAACCTTATTTACCATTTGATTATTTCTTTGAATATATATATTTTAAATTATATGTATAAAATATAATATATTAAATACTTCTTCTTTTTATTATCCTTCATCTAATTTTGCAATTAATTTAGTTTTTGAACTTTCGTTATTTTCATTATCTTATGCTTTTGCGCCTATAAGCTTTATTATTCTATTTTATATATAAATAAATTTTTTGGCCCATTAAATTATATTTTAAATTATTTTCACCTTCTTTATGCTATCTCTTCCTATACATATTAATTAAAAATAAAAAGGTTTAATATAATAAAAATAATTCTTTTTTTTCTTTTTTTTTTGTTACAGGTGTATTTATTTTTCCTAATCCAGGTACTTTCTATAATTTTAAATATATTAAACAATATAATTATATATATATATATATATATATATATTTATACATGTTCATCATTATCATCATTATCAATTTGCTTTTTATTTTTTTGATAATATAAATAGTTACAAAAATTATATTTTTAGCTTATATATTTATTTAATATAAATATTTAAAAACCTTTTCATCAATTTCATATTCTGGCTTTCTTTTTCCCATTTTAATTATATTTTATTTATATGCTAATAAAATCCTTTTTTATTTTATCTTTTATAAAAAAATTAGTATAAAATAACAATTTATATAGTAAAATAAATATAATCATCATATAAAATTATCTTTTTAATTTATAATATTAAATATAATAAATAAATAATACAAATTATTAGTGTTAATTTTATACTTTCTTACTTTTATTTTTAAATTAATAATTATTTATTATCAAATATTTTCAAAATATCTGAATAATTTTTTATTATATTAGTTCTAATTTAATCAATTTATAATAATAATATTTATTTAGAATTGATTATATTAAATTATAGAAATATATTTTACGATATAATGAAATTATTATTTTATATTAATATATAAAATAATGATCCCTATATATTATTTTTAATTATATTAGTTTTCAAAAATAAACTTATTTAATTGAATTAAATTAAATTAAAATATAATATGATTTTCTGAATTTTCATTTAATTTGTGTTTAATTAATTTTATATATTAAAACATAAATATAAAAGTATATAATTTTTTTTTTGTATTTAAAATAATTAAGAAATTAAATAATTTATTTTTAAATAAATATAAAAACATAAATAAAATAATCTAATTATTTATTAATAATAATTAATTTTATCTTTTAATTTCATTAACATTTATCCAAAACAACTTTAGCTTATCTTAAAACTTTATTATTAACTTTATAACCAGTTTAAACAACTTCAGCTACTTTCGAATTTTCATTTACTCTTATATTTTCAGAACTTTCATGATCATTTTTATTAAAATCTTCTCCTTTATTAGGACTGATCTTAATAACTCCATTTTTTTCTAAAATCTTTTCAAAAATTTTATATGTCATAGTAATTCCTTCATAAAGTTCATCCCTTTATGAAGTCTATTTCAAAATATTTTCCAAACTAGCTTAAACATCTAAAACCTCACATGCAAATACTTAAATTGCTTGAGATTTGTATTATTCTTTTTCTTTAGATAAACTTTGACGAATATTTTCTGTTACAGAATATTCTTGATCATATTTATTTTTTAGATTTATTGCTTCATCTTAAGTTTTCTTTAACAAAGATTAGCTTTCTTTTATCTTTTTTATATATTGATTTTTTAATTATATTAATAATTTAAAATATATGTTTAGTTTACCTCTTAATTTAATTATTATATAGTTTTTTCAGTTTCTTTTTACTATGTTTATAACTCATTAGCTATTTAAATAGCTTTTTAATACGAATCATTAGTTCCTATTTCTATTTTAAGTAATTATATTTTGTAAAATAATGCAAATATTTTTACTTAATAGATCTAAAAAATCATTAGGAAGGTCTTCTTATTTTTCTTAACTATTTTCTTTATTTTCATTTTAATTATCTTTTTTGCTCCATATAAAACTGAAAAATGGCAATTGTATTAGTTATTTTTTTAAAATAATTTTTTAAAAAAATAATACTTATTTTAAGAAGTGAAATTTAATCTCTTAAATTAAAATTTTCTGAAAATTGAAAGTTATTTTACAAGATTTAATGACAAATATAAATTTTTCATTTATTTGTTTTGTTTTTGAATATTCTCGAATATCTTTTTTTTATATTTTTATTTTTTTTATTAAATAATTGTTATGAATAAATAAAAATAATAATAAATATATTTTTTTATTTCACCCTTAAAAAAAAATTGATTTTATAAGAAAATAAAATCCTAATTGCTAATTTTTACATTATTTTATAAAAAATTAAATAAAATAGTATTTTTCTATAGAAAATAAAATTAAAAACAGATAATTTAAATTTGATTGTTCAAACTTTCTAATAAAAATAGATTTGAAGGCAATAAATAACTACTTTTCTTTTTTACAATTAAGAATATGAAAATATAGTTATACTTATTTCTATTTTATTTTTATTTATAAATTATGATAAAATTTTAAATCCGAAAAAATAAATTATATATTTAACTTATTTTTATTAACTTTTAAAAATATATATTATAGATTATTTAAAATTTATATTGCTTTTTATAATATTCTTATTATTTGTTAATTTCAAAATATTTTATCAATTAAACTAAATAATATTAAAGTATGAAATTAAAATAGTTCAACCTTGTATATTAAGGATAACTTTTTCAATATATTCGCTTCTCCTATCATAAAAAATTATATCGTTTTTTTCCCAAAAGGTATCTTATATCTATATAAATTTCTTTCTATTTTCCCAATAAAATACATAAAAAATAGACCATGGACCAACAAAAAATGCAGCAGTTTTTAAAGCAATAAAAATAATAGCAATAAAAATATTGAAACTAAAATAAAAAGAGTTACATTGATTCATATTATCACATTTTTTATGAGCTAAATAATCCCATAAAAACATTACTATTGAAGGTATTAAATGTCCTCCAATTAAAATTTATAATTGCCTTTTACTCTTTATTATTTATTCAACAGGTGCACCCTCTTAATTGATTTCAGCATCAAGTGCTTAAATATTATTTAGCCCAAAATACATTAAAATGCTTACAACAATTAATGAGGACCCTGATATTAATAAAAAATCTATTCTAGTGCAATTTAAAGGAGTCTATGTATTTGTTTTATGTAAAAACCCGCATAAAAACCAAAGAGAAATTACATAAATAAAAAAAAATTCTCATCTTATTATAATATTTATATTTTAAATCAGCATCTTATATTTAGAAACACCAAATTATATAGCATGTAATAATACAATTAGAGAAAAAAAGTACACGAATAGTAAAGAGAATAAGCTAATTAAACTTTATTCCAAATAATAGGAAGCAAAAAAAAATCTAAACTATAGAAATTATTAACATTATTTTATCAAAACTATTTAAAACTTTATTTTTATCTTTATATATTATTACTGATGCTTTTCCCATAAAAAAAATGCTAATGACTGATATTATAAATAAAACTAAGCATTCAAATGAACCTCCTATATTTTCTGAACTTAAATTACTTAATGAAGGAACAATAGACATTTTTTTATTTGTATATATATTTTTTTATTTTTAAATAAGCAAATGAAATATATTTTATAAATATAAAAAATTAAATTAAATATATTTATACATAAAAAATAATATAATATATTCTATAATAAAAAAGTATTATTATTATTCTTTGTTAATTTTTTACTTTTCTTTTTTTTTTAATAAAAATAAAATAATATTTTTCATATTTATATTTTCTAAAATTTAATTAAATAGCAATAATTAATGGAATATTAAATTACTGAATAACTTATTATCCTATATGGATTATAATCATTAATAGAGAAAGTTATTTGCCCAATATGCTATTATTTATTGAGTAAACCAATAATGTGTTGTAATAATTGTAATTATACAATGTGTGGTTAATGCTATTAAAATTGGACTGAAAAATAAATTCAATCTAGTGATTTTAATAGTATTAAATGCCCTTAAAAATGTAATAAAAAAGCAGAATTCGAAAATAAAATAAATCGATTTTTGCAAAATTTGCTAGACAATATAAAAATTATATGTCCTTATTCTTAAAATAAAGGTAGTAAAATTTAATGCGATAAATTATTAAAGTATGATAATTATCAAAAACATATATAAAATTGTGAATATTAATTATAAAAATGTCCTTTTAATGAAGAAGAAGTAATTATTAAAAAAGATATTATAAATCATAAGCTTTAATGTAAATATAAAAACAATAATTAAATATATGAAGAATTTGAAAATTTTTATTAAGAGTTCGAATTCTAATAAATTCCATAAAAAGAAAATGATGAAGAAGAATTTAAAAGTTTTGAAAGTTCAAATTAATCTTTTAATAATTAAAATATTTAAATAAATAATAGTTAAGTTAATAATTTATCTAATATATAAAAGTGCTAATTTTGTTAATAAGAATTAGAATAGTAAATAGTTCATGAAGAAGATTAATGTATTTCTTATTTAAGTTAAAGACTTTCTAAACTCTAAAAATAAAAATAATAAATAACTTAATAATTAGATTTAATTATGAATTCTTTAGATTTGGAATGATATAATTAGAAAACTTTTGATTAAAAAATTAAAAAACAAATTCAAAGTATTAAAATAAATACTAAAAAAAAAAATTCTAATTAAATATATATTTTTATAATGTAATAATTAAATAGAAAAAAATATTTTAAATATATAATTTTATCGTTATTTTTTTTCAATTTAAGCTTTAGTTTTTAATATTTAAAAAATATGTTTTAAAAATGAAAAAATAAAATATTTTTTTAAAAAAGTTTTCATTAAAAGATAAAATTAAAAATTATAAAATTTTAATTCTGTAAAATAAAAAAACAATAAAATATTTAAAAATTCATATCATATTCTATCTATGGTTATCATGCTTATTTTTATCTAGTTTAAATTATAGCCATTATTAACTTTGAACTAATTATTATATAATTTCATTTAAAATTTATTTAATTTTATTGCAACTTTCGACATCTATTTTTTGATCTTTTCTTCAATTGTTGGCTCAATTGAGCCTGGCACTATAGAAATTAGGTTTTAGATATATTTTTTAATAACAAAAATAATATAAAATTTAAAGCAAATAAATGCTATTAAAATTTTATACATTACTTATTATAATTTTTAGTTTATTTAATAATCAATATGTGTTATAAATTTGTATTTTTGAATTAAAAAAAATTATTTTTTAAATTTTAATTTAAAAAATAATATATATATATGTATATATTTAATACTATTATAAAATTTTATCTTTGCTTAAAATTGTCTTAATAAACTTATAATTTTTGCAAAAACAATATATTTACTAATATAAAATAGAAAGTTTTAATAAAAAATAGAAGGTATTAATATTAAATGATTATTATTTATAAATTTATAAAATTATATTTTTTATAGTTTATTTATTATCTTATTTATACATAATATTATTAAATATTTTTTATTAATTATTTTAATGAATTAATTTTTTTTGTTCAAAATATATTACCTAATCATTATTAATAATAATTAATTTAATAAAAAAAAAATTATATCGAAATTTCTCATAAATTATTTTAATTAGTAAAAAAAAACAAAATTTTATAAAAAATAAATAAAAAAACTCAAATATTTATTAATTTAAAAAAATCAAAATAAAATATATAAAAAATGTTCATTTTATTTGAAAAAATCATTATTTAGTAGCTTCTCTATACCTTTATTCGACAACTTTCCAGTCAATAATTTTCCATATTTCAGTTAAATATTTAACTCTTAAGTTCTAATAATCTAAGTAATAAGCATGTTCCCATACATCAATAGCTAGAAAACAGAATATATATAATAAACTAATAAAAAAAAATACTTAAAAGAGGAACAATACTATTCCATTCAGGCATTTCTTAATTTCCTAATTCGAACATTCTCAAAGTTTTACTTACAGTGTCATATCCAAGCCATCCCCATCCAGATCCCTTTTTGAAAAAATAAAAAAATTAAAATAAAAGGAAATACCTAAATAGAAGCAGTTCTTTTATTAAATTCTGCAATAAAATTTTCATATGAACCCCATTTTTAAGTAATTGCTAAAGTCAAAGGCGAATTACTTTCAGGTAATTATCCACCACCTTATTTAGAAGGAGCTAAATTTTCCCAATAAAGAGCATGATTTACATGACCTCCCAAGTTAAATCTAAGTCCACTTTATAATAAGGCAACTTTATGCACATCATTATTTGCAGAAGCTTCTTTTATTTAGTTGTAAATATCGTTTAAATTATTTATGTAAGTTTAATGGTGTTTTCCATAATGATATTCAAGTAAGTTTTTAGAAAGAATAGGTTCAAGATCATTTAAACCGAATTTTAATTTAGGTATAGTTGCAGGTATAGTTGATCTTAATGAAAAAAATCTTCTTAATGGAAATTATAGATTTTTCATTTATGTTTAACTTTAATTTTATATTAAATTAGATAAAGATAATTAATTAAAATAAATTATTATATATAATTTTCTAATATATTAAATTTAAAATGTTATTTTATTAAAATCTTTATTTTTTGAAAAAAAATTAATTTTATTAAAATATTTTTTTAAAATTAACAAAATATAAAATAAAATTTTATATCAAATATACTCATATTTAATTAAAATATATATAAACAAATTCTTAAAAATAAACAGAAATTTCACTTATATATAATTTATATTTAAAATAATTTTTTATAATATTAAAATATAATTTAGATTAATAAAATTATTATATTAATATATAAAAAAATTACAAAAATAAAATAAAATTATATAAAATAAAGATTAAAGATATATTTAAAATATTTTTTAATAAAAAAAATTATAAATAATATTAATTGACAAATTAAATATTATAAATTTATACATTATTTATAAATATATATATATATATATATATATATATATATATAAATATTTATACATATATATATATTTATTTTTTTTAGATTTATTTTTTATCTTATAAATATATATAAAATTTTTATAAATATATTTATTTAAATATTATATTTTTTATGTTTTGCAAACAATCGATATAATTTTTCAAATTTTGTACAACAGTTTAACATAATATATAATAAGTTGATAAATTTTCTTAATTATCATAATTTATTAGCAAATATGATTCTTAAAGAGCTTTGAAAGGATTTCATGATGCAAATTTATAAACTGATATTCTTCCTATAATTTAGCATTATTAAAATATAGGTTTTACCTCGGAATAATTGGGTGATTTATTTTTATAAAAAATAAGTAGCTTACGTAAAAATACAAATGACCTAATTGTTAAAACTGATGGTTTACAATTAACTTAATTTTTAAATAGCAAATTTAATCTTAATTAAGCATAAATTAGAAAAATAATACATAGAAATGCATGTTTTATATCTTTAACATAAGAAGAAATTTTACAAAGAATTTAACTTCATTCCTAACTTTTAGGATGTGATTAGGTATATTTTTATAGTATTTAATTTTAAAAATATTTAAATAAAACAAAGAATTAATCATTAAAAAGCCTAATACTATATCCTTGTATATTCACAAACGATATGAAATATTAAATAGAGAAACTTTTGGATATTTTGCCAGTTTGGAGTGGTTTTTCTTAAGAATAATGTTAATAAATTATATTAGCTCATCCATATATTTTAGATTTTAATTATGATTACATAAATACTAATATTAAAAATATGAAAACTAGATAATTTACATCATAATAATTATTTAAAATTGTAAATTGCTTATTTAAAATAATAAATTTAATTTTTTTTTTAGCTTATGACTACAGTAGAATTTGTTTAAAGAAAACCAGGGCATTAAAATAGAGTATATTAATTTCCAAGAACTATAAAACTATAAGAATAAATAGTATATTTAATAAATATTAAAAATAATTTAAATTTATAAATTTTAAATAGGCTAATGAAGCATTTACTAATAACCCAGAATTATTAAATATTTGTCCTGTTACTGTTCTTCCTTTAAAAGTATTATAAAAATAAGTTTATTTTAATATAGGATTTATTTATTTTAAATTATAAAGTCAAGAATGTTGAGAAGTTACTTTAAAATAAATGAACCCTAGTAATTTAGAGAAATCTATACTTCATATCCTTAAATTTTCATAAAGTAAATTTTTAATGTAATAATTATATTAAAATTAAAAAAAATAATTAAAAGTTCAATTGGTAGTTTAGAATTAAAGAATAGATATTTATTAAAAAAAAAATACAAATATAATAAATATAAAATCTTCTTAAATTTTTGTCTTTATCTTATTGCCAAACTATTAGACCAAGGTTAATATTATATAATAAAATTTTATATTTTATTTTTTTTAGACTAGAAACATTAATAAGAAAAGATATTTAATATAATATTAACGAAGATTTATTTATAGAAGAAAATTCATTTTTAAATAAATATTAAATAAATTAATAAGTATAATATTTATTTTAACTTTTTTAAATAATTAAAAATAAAGGAATTTGATAAAATCAAATTAGAAAGATCTATACATGAGGAAAAGGATATTAGAATTAACTTTTATTTATAAATAATAAATGAATGAAAATTTTATTTTATTAAAAAAAAAAATCAAACTAATATTTAATAAAAAAAAACATAAACGAAAAATAAAATTAAAATTTATTATAATATAAAAAAAAATATATAATTAAAAAATATGTATTTAATTAATAAATAACAATAAAAATCATAAATCATCTTTTTTAGTTCTTTATCTTTTAAGTTTTCCCTTTTAGTATAAAATAACAAATTCATTAATATTTTCAGCAGTTATATCTTTTTAAAAAGCATAAATATTTTCCCTTTTAGAAGTAGAATAAACCAATTTTATAACTGGTAAATCCTTTTCATTTACATCTAAAATATCAATCAGTTTATTAAAATTATTTTCGAATCCATCGTCCTGTTTTGAAACTGAAAAAATAACATTTCCTCCTTTATTTTACAAAGCACTTTTTTCAAATTCTTTAAGTGCATTTATAGATTTTTGATTATTATTGCATACAAAAAATAAAGCAGGATTTTAATTAACGAAAATCATACTTACTGCCCTTTTATCAAAAGGAATAATATGAGGAATACTATGAGAATCAATAAATTTTATAATTTAAATGATTTTTAACTCACCTGTGTACTCATCTCTTTTATTATCAAAATTTTTATATAATACAATACTCAAATCTTCAGCTTATTCTTAAGCTCGAATTTATTAATCTAATACATAAGCAAATTTAGTTTCTTCATAACTCATGGCTACTAATTTAAAAGTTTAAAAATTAGTTTCTTACTCGTTTAAACCTTTTTTTCAATAAAAAAATAATCTATTTATTAATCATTATTTTTTTACCAAAATAAACAATTAAAGCTTAATTCTTTTATTTTAATTCTTCTAGTTATTCAATATGATTTATTTTTTCGGAAGATTTTTCAATTTTTTAATTTAGCCAGTTTCTTAAATCTTCTTCTTTTTTTTAATCTTGTATATATTTTATATTATGCTCTAAATTTCCAAACGAAAATAAACGTAAATCAGGATAGCCATCAACTTTATATTTTTTTGATAAACTCATATGTATTGACATATCTGATTTTGCAAATTTTACATTTTAATTTTAATAATTTTGTGATATTTTTATGAATTCAGGATCGAGTTACTTGCAATGATCGCACCATGGGGCATAGAAATCTATAAAAACATGTTCGTTTTAAGTAACAAAATCATTAAAATTTTATGGGTTTAATATATATATGCCGTTTTTATCTTACATAACATTGCTATTTTATTAAGATACTGAAACATAAATTAAATAAAAGAAAAATAATATAAAAGAAAGCATATTTATTTATTTTATTTGTATATGTATTTTAGTTTTTAATTAGGATTTATATTATTTTATTTTTTTAAAAAAATACCTTTATTTTTATTATTAAATATAGAAAAAATATATAATAAATAATTCAAAAAAAAATATAAATTAAAATCATAAAAAAGAAAAATAAAAAATGTGTAAACATATTTTAAATGTCTAAGTATCAATTAGAGCACCATGTTGCAAAAAATGGTTTGATTGTGCAGAATGTCATAATGAATCATAGGATCATGAACTTAAAAAAGCTCTAGAAATGATATTTGCATGCAAAGCTTGTAAAAAATGCTTCAGAAAAGATTTAAAAGACTTTGATGAGTCAGATGAATTTTGCCCTCAGTAAATATTTTTATTATATGTTTCTAGTTTTTAATATTTTCTTTTTCTTTAGTTGCGATAACCATTATATAATTGATGCTGTTACAAAGGAAGTTAGAGATTCTTGATTTATATTAAAAAATATACATATATAATATATTAATTAATGGTTTTTTTTATAATGTTATATGTTTAGTACTTATCTTTTTGTAAAGATTTTTGAATAATTTGATAAGTTTTTTTATTAAACATTTCAAATAGCTTTCAAAAAATAATTTAAAAAGATTATAATAAATTTTAAATAATATTTTATAAGACAGACATAATTAAAAAAATAATTATTAAACATAATTCCAAAGTAATGCTGAGGAAAATCTTAATAAATAATTATTTATATATATATTTTAAAAAAATTTTAATTTTTAAATTTTTTTATCACTAAAATAAAATATCAAATAAGTTTTACTTTTTAAAATTATATTCATTAAAAAAAATAGTTAAATATCAAATATATAATAAATAAAAAATATTAAATTTAAAATATTTCAAACATATATAATTTAAAATGTTTATAATAAAAATTATAAAATTTGTATTTAAAATTTAATATGATAATTATAAATTGCCTTAAAAAAGAAAAAAAAATATATTCAAAACAATAAATTATTATTATAACTATAATATATTTATTTATAAATACAACTACAGAAATTTAAAAATTATATTGTCATTTATATAAATTTTAAAATAATTTATTCAAAATAAATAAATAACTAAATATATATATAAAAAGTAATAATAGAATTTATATTATTTTTTTTATTAAAAATGCAAGTAAAAAATTATAATTATATTTAATCTTTCTTTTTTTAACTTTAACATATATAAATTAAGCGGTAATAGTTATTTATCATAAGCAATATAAAAAATTCTTCCAATAATAATATACCTTCGTAATTTGTAAAATATATATAAGCATTGTTCGTCCATTAATAATTTCTTATGACTTATTAGATACCGAAATAAACTTTTACCTATTTTTTATAAATGGTCTATTATTACTGCGTGAATATGGCTTCTTTATGGAATTATTATAATATATATAATTGATTTTCAAATTTTACTTTAGCTAGCTAAAAATTTTAGACAATAAAGTAATCTAAATTAAAAAAAAAATGAGATTTATTTCCCTTTACAAGATACTTGTTTACAAGTTAATTCTTAAAGCTCTATCAAATAATTAAAAAATAAGGAATTAAACAAATTTTTAAACCAAGGATAAATACATAACTCATTTTATTTAAAACAAAATTTATTCTACTTTTTAAAATAGTGCTTTAAATTTAATTTAAAAAAAGCAAACTTTATATAATAATCATCATATTGACTTGATAATATAATTTTATCAATTTAAGAGATTAATTTAATTTAAACAGACAATCTATATAAATGATAAAGACTGAGTATAATTTTTATGCTCTTTAGAAGGTAAATATTTTAATTTTTAGAAAACAATTTAACATCAAACTTTTTTTTTTGAATAGTTAAAATTCGTTAATGCAAATTGTTTGTCTAAAGCAGTTTTTATTTGGTAAGAAAATGGTATTTGTATTATTAATTAGGGCAATAAATAATAATCATATATTTTGGTACATTTAGTTAGAGTTAATTTTTGGGAATACATTTTAGAAAATAATAAGTTTATTACTATTATTAAAAACTTATTTTAGAGAATATTTAAAAGTAATTTTTTTTAAAAAAATAGTGAATTATGATAAAATTTTATTTTTTAATAAAATTTTATTTAATTAAAAAAATATTTCTTTTTATAGTTTTTTAACAAACAAAATTGTATATTTAATTAAAAATATATACATTTTTTATATTTTATAATGTTATAATAAAAATACAAGATTTAAAAAAAAATTAATTATGAGAAAGTATAATAATTAATAATATATTACAGTAATTTTTTTAATAAATAGTAGTTAAAGTTTAAAAAATAAAGTAGGAATTATATTATTAATATAAATTATATAATAAATTTAAAAATAATAATAAACATAAAAAATATAAATTCAAAAAAAAAAAAAAATTTTTAAAAATTATCAAAATAAAAAATAAAGCAAATATATTTAAAAAATAAAATATTAATAAAAAAACATAATAATAAATTATTTAAAAAAAAGTGTTTTAATAAAATGAATAACAATCAATAATAAGATTAAGATTAAAAAATAATTTATGATGATGCAAGCAATTATGATGAATATATAAACAACTCATAATAAAATATGGTAAAATGTGATAAATGTAATGTATTGCCAATAAATTATATAGAATTGAATTGTTAGCATAGTTTTTGTTTAGATTGTATGGCATGTTGGTTTATTTATAAAAATTATTGCAAAGAAGAAATATATTATTAAACAGAAATCGATAATAATGAAATAAATATTACATTAAATGTTGAATGCATAAATTGCTAGAAAATTACTGAACTTGATTTTGATTCAATAAAAGCAATAAACGAAGTAAAAGAAAAAATAGAAATGATGTAAATTTAAGAGTAAGAAAAAGAAGATGACGAAAATAATGGTAATTAATAATTTATTTCAGCTAAAAGTTAATTATAAAATATTTTATAAATTATTTAAAATTAAAATTAGATTAAAAAAATGAATAAGAGGAAGAAGAGGAAGAAGAAGAGGAAGAATAAGAAATTAAAAAATATCCCGAAAATAAAGAAAACAAAATAAAAACTTAATAAGATAATTAATTTAAATTATTTACTAATTAAAACTAAGAATAAAATTACTAAGCTAATTACTAATAAAAAAACAATAATAATAATAACTTTTATTAAAATTAAATATATTAATAATAATAGCAGAAAATATAATCATCATTTCATTCATAAAATTTAAACTAACCAATTTAAATTACAGCTAATTTTAATTAATAACAATTTTAATAATATTGTCAATAACCTTAAAATAATTCGCAATAATAATAATAACAGTAATAAATATACTAACAGTAATAATAATAATAATAATAATAATAATAATAATAATAATAATAATAATAATAATTTTGTGAAATACATCCTTTTGAAATTTTAAATTTTTACAATTTCTAAAATAATTAAGTAATGTGTTGTAAATGTATATAAGAAAATTAATACTAATATTATAATGATGATTAGTAAATAATTTAATTTGAAAAAAGTTTACCAATATTTTCTGGAAAAGTAGAAGAATTTAATCGGTAAATAAATATAAATATAGAACTTTTGAAGCTTTACAAGAATTAATTTTATGATAATTCTATTAAATAAACAGAAAAGATAAATAATTAAAAAAACAATATAATTTCATAATTTTCAAATTTATTTTAACTTCTTTAACATAAATAGTAATGTATATTAGATGAAATTGAGAAAATAAAACAAGTTTTCGATTTAAAAAATTAATCTCAATCAGAATCAATATCTTCCACATTAAAAACTCTAAATGAATTAAAAGAATACTTCGGAAATTTACAAAACATAAATTGTGATATTCAAACATTTAAAATATATTAGTAAAGCAAGTAAATATTTGAACAAATTCTCAAACAAAACGAAGAGCTCATCCATTTTTAGAACAAATAATAATACGAGTTTAATACTTAATTTAATTTTTAGCATGCCTAAGATGTTATTAAGTAAATAAAATTTGCAGAAAATAAAATATTATCAAGTTAGGAGGCCGAAAATAATTTTAATGGATAAAATTTGAAGTTATCCACAAATTTTAAAAATGGTTTTACTTTTAATAATAATAATAATGCAGATAAATAAATAAAAAATCTCTATTAGAGTATTTTTTTAAATAATGCTTAAAGAAGCTCTACAGAATAGTTAAATACTATTAATAGTTTGGATTTTTGTAAATAGTAAAAGAAAAAAAAAAATATTTTTGGTTTAAATACAAATGAAAATGCAAATAAAAACGAATTCTAAATGTTCAAAAGTATTGTTTTAGACGAAAAAGAAGGATTCTATAGGAAAAGAAATGAGTTTTAAATGAATTATGGGAAAAATAACTCTTAGTTTGGAGGATTTAAAGGCTATTTTGGATACAATAAATCCTTTTTTGATAGCTTTTAAACTGATAAAAACACTAATATAAATACTAGTGCAAAAAATTCGTTTTTAAATAAAAAAAATAATTTCAGCTAATAAGGATTCTAATTAAAATCTCTTAAAAAATATTAAGATTTATTTTAAATGTAGAAAAAAATACTTTTTAAAAGCGAAAGATGATTATTTTTTATATTTTATTTATATTTTCTTTTTTATTTATTTATTAATAATTTTATTTAAAAAAAAATTAAATTTTTTCGTTTTTTTTTTTTTAAAATAAAAAAGTAATAATAAAAAAAATATATGTTTCCTTGGTTTAAAGAAGAAGAAGAATAAAAACAATATTAAATATCAACTAAAGTAGAAAATAAATCTCGATAAAATGAATTAAAAGATTATTATAAAAACAATGTTAGTTAATATAATAAATAAAATATTATTTCAAGAGATGAGAAAAAAAAGTACTATAAGAAATTAAAAATGGAGATTCAAATAATGACTTTATACTTAATTTTGGTAAAAATAATAGAAATTACCCTATAAATAAAAATGATTATGCAAAAGAACTTTCAAAACAAATAGAAGATAATAAACTTTTTGAATAAAAAAAATAAGATTAATATAATAATAATACTAATAAAAACACTCCTTCTTTAAATAATTAATTATAAAAATAAGACTTTTGGTAAAAAAACGATCAAATTTTAATGAAAAAAATTATTTAATAATAGTAAATACCATAGAATATGCAATTAAACAAAAATAATTTTGATAATAAACATAATTATTAAAAAAAATACGAAATTGAAAATAAATATAATTTTGAAAACAAGTAATAAAATATGGAAAACAAAAATAACGATGAAAATAAAAATGATGAATAAAAAAATCAATATAACGAAAATGAAAATAATAATATCTATGAAATTGAATAAAATTTTAAGAATAATTTTGAAAATATAGAAAATAAATAATATTCATTTTAAAAAAGATAATTATTGGAAGATAATAAAATTACTTATGATTCCAATAAGAATTAAAATTAAACGTTATAAAAATAATTTTAAAATAATACGATAGAATAATAAAATATATAAAAAATATAAGAAGAAAAAGGATAATAAATATATTAGCAAGAAGAAAAAGAAGATTAAAAAACAATAAAATAAAAAAAAGTAGCAGAAGAATTAGCAGAATAAATAAGATAAAAATAAAAATTAAAAAATTAAGAAAAAGAAAAAGAAAGGCTATTAGATATATAATACGAGCAAAAAGTAAAAGCTTAATTAGAAGAACTAAATAAAAAACACAAAAGCGAATTAAATGGAGAATAATAAGAAATAAAAACTTTAAAATATCATGTAGAAAAAAAAAAATAAGATTAAATAGAATAGTAAAAGGAAAAATTTTTATCAAATTATAAGCCTACATCATAATAATCTAAAAAAAATATATTAAATGTATATTTAAAAATAACAAATATAAATAAATAATGTTTTTTAAAAAAAGGAAAATAATAATTATAGTAATATTAGCAATAATAATAGTAATGTAAATACAAGTTTAATAAAATAATAATAATAATAATAACAATAAAAATAATAATAATAATAATAATAATAATAATCAAATTTTAAATTGGATGATATTTATTCATAATAAAGAGAATTCAAATCACCTTTTAATTAAAATATAAAAGAATTTTAAGAAGAAGAAACAGAAAAATAAAAACAGCCATAAATATCTTAAAATGATTATTTCGAAAGAAAATATGATATGTTATGGAAATTAAAAGAAAAGAAAAATGATGAAGAGCTTCATAAACTAAAAGATCAATTATATTTTTAAACGTCTATTTTATAAAAAGATGTCGAATAAATGAAAAGTGATGCAAAAGCAGCTCAGTAGATAAAAAATCAGGCTCTTTTTGACTTATAAAATTTAAAAGATAATATACAAAAATAGACGTTTGGTGAAAATATAAGATAGAAAGAAATTTAAAAAATTACTACAAATTCAGGTTTTTTTAGTAAACAAATCAGTAATATTATACCAAATAATTAATAAACACTATTAAAATATAAAATTGAGAAAAGAATTAACGATTTGTAATTTAATTAAGCAGAATTGTAGCTTTTACAAGTTGAAACAATGTTAAGACAATTCGTAAATTGAACTTAAAAAAAAATTATATATAGTTATCTATTAAATTAATTTATTAATTTTGTTTATTGTAATTTCTTAATTTTTATATATTTTTTTCATTTTTTTTTGTTTGTTGATGTTAACTTATCGTTTAAAACTTATTTAAATTAATCTATAATTTTATTTTCTTTTTTTATTTATTGCTCGTAATTATAAATTGCTAAGGCCTTTTTTTCTTAAATACTATATACTTTTGCTTCTTTCATTTGTCTTACAGCATTCATTCTTTTATGCCTTGAACCACTCATTACATAACCTAATTCTTCATATCGACTAATTTATTCAGAAGAAAGACCTACTTCACCTCTACGAGGTATTCTTTTTCCTGAATCTATATATTAAGCTATAGCTTGGCCTTCTCCGGGTAACAAAGTACCACCATAATTGCTATCTCGCTTATTTTCTGATATTATCAATGGCTATTATATTGTATAAATTTAATATAAATATTTTTTTAATTTTTACCATAGGCCCTATTACAAATTGTGATTAATGATTTTAGTTTTGTCTTTATGTTTCAAGATAATTTTCATCATCTTAATATTCTTCATTTTCTTCTTATTATTATTAAATTTCTTCACTTTTTTTATTTCTTTAAGTAGGTTTTTAAAATTTAGGACCTTTAAGTTTTTCACGACATTATCTGGCAAAAGAATTATCTGATTCAAATTCAATTTCATCTTCATTTTCTGATGAAGAAGAAAATTAAGATGATTTAGAAGATTCTGAAGAAGAAGAAGTATTAGAAGCAGATGAAGATGTAATTGATTATTAATTTTATATTTTTTCTAATTTTCTTAGTCTTTTTTCTTCTTCTTGTTTTAGTTATTCTTTTTATATTTCAAGTTTTTCTAATTCTTGTTTTTTCCAATATTTTTCCAAGTTTTTATTATAAGTTTCCTCATCTGTACTGTAGTCCCAAAAATGAACTTTTAATTATAGATTTTAACGTTTTTCAATACGGTTTTCTTTTGAATAATATGGCTTTTTGGAATAATAATTATTTTGTCTAAGAGGTGACGAAGAAGATGAAGAACAAAATGATTTTTTTTGATTGTTTTATATTATTTACGAGGAATTTGATCTAGATCTTTTTTTATGTTTTTTTTCGTTTTTATGTTCTCTTGAACGAGAACGATTTTTTTTTCCCATTTTTTAATTTATTTTTATGAATATATTTATTATTTTACTTTTTAAATATATATGTATATATATATATTTATTCTTTATTAAATTTTATTTATATTTAAAGATGTTTTTATTGTTTTAAATTTATCTAAAATCTTTTTCTATCTTTTACACAATTTATGGTTATTTAAATAAATAATTAGATTTTAAAGATTTGATTAGTTTACAATTTAATTAATAGAAAATATATTTGAATGAGATATTATTTAGTTATTTTAAAAGTATGAAAAATATAATTATAATAAATATCCCTATAAAATTATATAATTGATTCTTATAATTTGTAAATCAAAATATTATTATAAATATTAAAATAAAAAAATATAATTTGAGAAAGAATTTTTTTTAAATTTTAGATTTTTTTAATAAACAAGAGAATTAATACTAGCCATAATAAAATATAGATAATTACAAAAATAATGAAAACATAAAGTTTATATAATCTTTATATAATTAGAAACACATAAATTTTAAATATTTGACACGCCATGTAAAATCTAAATAAAAAAAAAAAGCATAAAATTTAATTTTTTCTTTCATTAAATAGAATACAGACAAATATATAGAATTTGCTTAAAACAATTAATAAATGAACAATAAAAATAAAAATTCCTTTTTTGAAAAAAAGTTAATACAAAAATATCATATCTACAACAAACTTTCGAATGTAATAACAAATAACCAAAAAATTTAAATAAAAAATAAAATTTAAAAAAATTATAAAAAAGAAATTAATTATTTTTTGATTTCATTTTTTAACAAACTAAATAAAAAGTATTAAACATAATAAATATATAAAAAAATTATAAATTTTTAGCAAAAAAATTTTAAGATAATTTTTTTTACATTATTTTTTAAAAAAACATATATTTAATATTTATGTCAATATATATTTGCACATCTTTCCCATTTAGGCTTAAAAATTAAATTATAATAGAAATTATTTTTTATTGCTATTTCTTTAATTTAATAAAGACATTAATAATAAAAAAAATTAACATTATAATCAGTATTACCTTTTTTATATATTAATATTAAAAAAATAAATTTATAAATAAACATAAATTATAATAAATACTTTCAGTTTAATAAATTAGCCATTTATAACATTAATCAGTAATATATTCAGAATCTAAGGATAACATATTATTTATATCAAAATCAACTTATTAACATTCTTGAATCTGATTATCATGTGCTTCTTAACAAGAAGGAGTTTACACATTATCAAAACATTCTTCAAATTATGCAATTGAAGGTATTCCGGAAGGAGCCTTTCCTTTATCTTAAGCACATATTTTCCAATCTATAGAGAAATTATTATTATATAAAAAATAGTTCATAAGAGCGTAATTTCCGCATTAGTCTGCACATCTATAAAAGCTTTCAGGAAGAAAATCATTATCTTATACTTTAATATGGATTTAAAGAATATTTTTTTTATTTTTGTTACTTGTTTTTTCTGTTTGATACCAGCTTTGACAATCATTAATATAATCAAAACAATACTCTTTCATTCTTTATTATGAAAATTCACATTAACTAATTTCCTATTTAACATCGTTTTGTTCACAAGTAAATTTTTTTGAATTTTGTACACAAGTTTTCCATTAAAAATAGGTGGGTCTATTAGAATTTGTTTGTGGTTTTTAAGAATCTTAATTCTTTTATTTTTTTATTTTTTTATAATATATTGTTGAAGGAATCAGTATTAATATTGAAATAAATAAAAAACTTTGTATTACATTTATATTAATTATTATAAGTTTTTAATAATAAGATTTATTTTTTATAATGAAAATTTTATTTTTAATATTTTGTAGTATTTTAGTTATTTTAATATTTTTTTATGTATAAATATAATTTAATCAATATAGTAAAAATTTATAAATAAAAATAGATATTTGGTGTATTATTAGTAAATTTAATGATAAAATATTTTTATTATAATATTTATCTTGAAAATTTTTTGTTAAATATATTTTTAATAAATAATGATTTTTTTCTTTAATTACACGTAATAATATTCCTTTAATTTTCATTAAAATAAGTAAAAAAATAAAAGATTTATTTATTAAGTATATATAAAATCATTTATTTTTTTCAAAATAAGAAAAAATAAAAAATGAATTTATAAAAATTCAATATGAGTATATATTTTTTATTTTTTTTAATAACTATAAAATGTTAAGAAACTATAGATCTAGAAGATTTTATGTTAGGAAATAAAAAAGAAAATAACGAGGATGAAAAATAAAAAATAATGAAGTTTTTTGAATAATAAAAATAAGAAACAGAAAAAAAAATAAAAGAATTATAAGAACACATATTAGAATAAGAAACACTAAGAAAATTAGAAGAACAAAAAATAAATCTTTTAGAAGAATAAATAAAGCAAAAAATTCTTAAAAAATAAAAAGAAGAAGAATAAAAAGGCAAAAATTAAAAATAAGAATAAAAAATTGAAAATTAAAAATCAAATGAAGAAGAAAGGCTTTAGTAATCAAATGAAGAAGAAATGCTTTAGTAATCAAAAGAATAAGAAAGCGAACTCAAAAAATAAAAAGAATTATAAATAGGAAAACTTGAAAAATAAATTTAAGAAGAGAAATTTCTATTAAAATAAAAAGAAGATTAGCTTAGAATTTTGAAAATTAAAGAAGAAGAAGAAATAATAAGAAAGTAAAAAGAAGAATAAGAAGAAAAAATAAGGAAGTAAAAAGAAAAACAAGAAGAAATAATAAGAAAGAAAAAATAAGAAGAAGAAATTATAAGAATCTAAAAAGAATAGGAAATGCTTTAAAAATAAAAAGAAGAATAAGATATATAAAAATAAAAAGAAGAAGAGGAAAGAATTAGAAAACAAAAAGTATATGAAGAAGAGGAAAAAATAAGAAAGTAAAAAGAAGAAGAGGAAGATAAACTAAAAAAATAAAAATAAGATAAAGAAAAAATAATTAGAACACAAAAAGAGGATGAAGAGGAAAGAAGTAGAATAATAAAAGAAGAAGAGGAAATCATTAAAAAACTTCAATTATAATAAAATGAAATTCTAAAAATTTAAAGAGAAGAAGAAGAGTTAATTCTAAAAAAACTTAAAGAAGAAGAATTGAAATAAAATAAAATAAAATTAGATTAAGAAAAAAACAAAAAGCTGAAAGAATAATAAGAAAGATTTAAAAAAATGAAAGGGTATTAAATAAAAAAGAAGCAAGAAGAAGAAAAATTAAAAAAGCAAAAAGAACAAAAATAACAAGAAGAACTTATTAAAAAATAATAGGAACAGGAAGTGTAAAATATACTTTAAGAAGAAAAAGAATAAAAGGATTAAAAATTAACAGATGAATAAAAAAATTTAAATAAAAAAAATAAGAATAAGAATAAGAATAAGAATAAGAATAAGAATAAGAATAAGAATAAGAATAAGAATAAGAAATACAAAAAAAAAACTTTAGGAAGAAAAAGAATTGTAAAAAAGGATTTAAAATCATTAAAAAGAAGTAAATGAAAAAATTTAAAAAGAGAAATTAGAATAAGAAGAAAATTAAAAAAATAATAGAAGTAAAAAAGAATATAGAAAGAAGAGCAAGAAAGTATAAGGCTTTAAAAAGAGGAAAATGAATAAATTTAAAAATAAAAATAAGAAATTTTATAATAGTAAGATATCGTTTAAAAATAATTAGAAGAAGAATTATAGTAATAGGAATAATAAAAATATCATTAAGATAATAATAAATTTTAAAAAATAGAAGAATAACAATAGACAAATTAAGGATAACAATAATAAATAAATCAAGGATAATAACAATAAACAAATTAAGGATAGTAATAATAAACAAATTAAAGATAATAATAATAAACAAATTAAGAATAATAATAAACAAATTAAGGATAACAATAATAAATAAATTAAGGATAATAATAATAAATAAATTAAGAATAATAATAAACAAATTAAGGATAATAACTATAAAAAAATTAAGAACCATAATAAATAAATATAGGTTAATAACAATAAACAAATTAAGGATAATAATAATAAGCAAATTAAGGATAATAATAAAAAATAAATTAAGGATAATAATAATAAATAAATTAAGGATAATAGCAATAATAAAATAAAGAACCATAATAAATAAATTAAGGATAAAAATAATAAATAAATTAAGGATAACAATAATAAACAAATTAAGGTTAATAACAATAAAAAAATTAAGGATAACAATAATAAATAAATTAAGGATAACAATAATAAATAAATCAAGGATAATAACAATAAACAAATTAAGGTTAATAACAATAAACAAATTAAGGATAAAAATAATAAATAAATTAAGGATAACAATAATAAACAAATTAAGGTTAATAACAATAAATAAATTAAGGATAATAATAATAAACAAATTAAGGATAACAATAATAAACAAATCAAGGATAATAACAATAAACAAATTAAGGTAATAACAATAGAAAAATTAAGGATAATAATAATAAATAAATCAAGGATAATAACAATAAAAAAATTAAGGATAACAATAATAAATAAATCAAGGATAATAACAATAAACAAATTAAGGATAATAATAATAAATAAATTAAGGATAATAATAATAAACAAATTAAGGATAACAATAATAAACAAATCAAGGATAATAATAATAAACAAATTAAGGTTAATAACAATAAACAAATTAAGGATAATAATAATAAACAAATTAAGGATAAAAATAATAAATAAATTAAGGATAACAATAATAAACAAATTAAGGTAATAATAATAAACAAATTAAGGATAAAAATAATAAACAAATCAAGGATAATAACAATAAACAAATTAAGGATAATAATAATAAACAAATTAAGGTTAATAACAATAAATAAATTAAGGATAATAATAAACAAATTAAGGATAATAATAATAATAATAATAAATAAATTAAGGATAACAATATTAAATAAATCAAGGATAATAACAATAAAAAAATTAAGGATAACAATAACAAACAAATTTAGAATAATAATAATAATAATAATAAACAAATTAAGGATAATAAGAATAAATAAATTAAGGATAATAGCAATAATAAAATAAAGAATAATAATAAACAAATTAAGAACCATAATAAATAAATTAAGGATAACAATAATAAACAAATTAAGGTTAATAACAATAAACAAATTAAGGATAATAATAATAAACAAATTAAGGATAAAAATAATAAACAAATCAAGGATAATAACAATAAACAAATTAAGGATAACAATAATAAACAAATTAAGGTTAATAACAATAAATAAATTAAGGATAATAATAATAAATAAATCAAGGATAATAACAATAAACAAATTAAGGTTAATAACAATAAACAAATTAAGGATAATAATAAACAAATTAAGGATAACAATAATAAACAAATTAAGGTTAATAACAATAAACAAATTAAGGTTAATAATAATAAACAAATTAAGGTTAATAACAATAAACAAATTAAGGATAACAATAATAAACAAATTAAGGATAAAAATAATAAACAAATCAAGGATAATAATAATAAATAAATTAAGGATAACAACAATAAACAAATTAAGGTTAATAACAATAAACAAATTAAGGATAATAACAATAAATAAATTAAGGATAACAATAATAAATAAATTAAGAACCATAATAAACAAATCAAGGATAATAATAATAAACAAATTAAGGTTAATAACAATAAACAAATTAAGGATAATAATAATAAACAAATTAAGGATAACAATAATAAATAAATTAAGGATAATAATAAACAAATTAAGGATAATAATAATAAATAAATTAAGGATAACAATAATAAATAAATCAAGGATAATATAAAACAAATTAACACTAATAAAATCATGAAAACGATTGGATAGAAATTCAAAATTAAGAAAATATACATTCATAATCTGAATAAAATTCATAAGGTTAATATTAAAATTAAGATGAAAAAAATTAATAATAAAATTAAAATTAAGACTAAGAAAAACAAGATACAATAAAATATGAAAATCAAGAATAATAAGCAAATAATCAAAAAGAAAAAGAATAACAATAACAATAAAAATAAGATCTCAAAAATTAATAAGAATTAGAAGATATCAAAAAATAAGAATAATAATAAAATAAATATAAAAATAATGATTAATAAGAATAATTAACTGAATAAGTATAAGAAATATAATATTCAAATTTAGTATCTTTTTATTTTAATTTTTTGAGAGATTTTGAAAATTTTATAGATTATTCATTTTAAAATATAATACATCCAGGATTTAATTATATAAAGAAAAATGAGAGATTTAACTACTTATTTTTTACCTATTTTTAATTTTTATTTCTAAAAGGTTTATAAAAATTATCTATAAAAACTCTAAGGATTTCGGAACTGGTGCTGAATTAAATAAAAATCTCGAATAATAATTCGACTGTTAAGAATTAATAAATTAAATTAATTAAATAACAAATGAAGTTAATCAAATATAATAACTTATAAATAGTGTTAATAATAATGATAAAAATATCAACAATGAATAAATTAATGAATAGAACAGTACTTTTTTTTAATAAATTAAACAGTAATTTAATATGTTAACCTAGTTCTAAGTTTAATTTATTACTAATGTAACTTAAAATTAAAAAAATATTCTTAATGAAATGAATTGGATTAAATAAATTAGAAAAAAATGATTGAATTTATATAAATTTAAAATTATTATTTATTTAACCAAATATTAATATTTTTCTTATAAAAATATGCCACAAATTATCATTTTTTTAATTATATAATTGGATACTATAATATAGTTAATAGTAGATTATTATTATCATATATATATTAAATAGTTTTTTTATTAATATTTTTCTATTATAAATATTTATTATTAAATATATAAAAGAAAATAACTTAGTTATAAAATAAAAAAAACAATTAAAAATTTTCATATATTTAAAAAATAAATATAATAATAATAAAATAAAATAAAAAAAATGAAATAAAAGGAAAATTTACTATAAATAAATTAAAATAATATTTTTCAATAACTTAATAAATAATAATACATTATTATTACTTAAATAATAATAGCATTACTATTAACATATTTGGAAACTTATTAATAATAAATTAATAAAATATATGGAATAACCCTTTTGCTTTAAATTATTTATAAAATAATAGACATTAGTTAAAATTAATAATAAAATGCAAAATACTAATATTTTAATAAAAAAACAAAATATTTATATTTCCTTGTTTATTTTTTGTTAATTATAAGCGAATAATATATTTTTTAAAAATTCAGTCATAAATTTTAAACAATAAAGTTTATTTTATTATTATTAATTTAAACATATTTCTTTTAAATATATAATTTTTTAAAAGAAATATTTTACTTTAATTATAAAAACATTGTTATTAATAATAAGTAATATTCTAACTAATAGATAATGTAAAAAATTGATTAATAAATTTAATTGCTTTAAAAAAGAAGAAACCTTTCCTTTTTCTCACATTCATATTAAAAATCGATTACCTATTATAGAAGGTGATTTTTTTATATAGTTTACTTATTTTTAATTATTATGCTATTTTTTATTATATAATAAATTTAAATACTTTATGATATTACTTTTTTTATATAAAAAAAGAATAATTATAAAAATTATATATATTTTTGTAATATTTATTTTACCATTAAATTTAACTTACTTTAAAAAATTTTATTTATAAAGTACAATTTTTTTCTTTAAATTCTAAAAAAACGATTTACAATTATATTACTATTTTTACTTAATAAAATAAAATAAATAACTTAATTAAATTATAATATTTTAATTATTATATATACTTACTAATGTTTACTTAAAAAAATAAATAGATATAATATATTTTAACTAAATAAAATTTATAAAAAAAAAAATGTAGGAAAATTAACATTAATTTTTATGCAAAATTTGTTTTTGTAATTGAAAAAAAATAATATATATATATATAGTAGTTTAATAAATAATATTAATAATAATAAAAAAAGAAAAAAAGCTATATATTTTTTATCATGCTAATGTATAGTTTGTAAATAATGTTTAGATTAATGGTAAGCAAAAAGTGTTATATCCTAAAACTAAAATTTTGTTATTTGCGGAATTTGTCAAAAAGAAGCAAATAACAAACCTAATAGTTTTTTAGATTAAAAACAAGCGTAATAATTTTCTTATTTATTTGCAGAACCTGAAACCTTATTTTAGAGATAAATAGAAATGATTAAAGTAATATAAAAAAGTTTATTTTTTTAAAATAAAAAATAGTTTTAAAGATAATAAACTAGTAGTTATGTTATTTACCTTTAATAATAAATATAACAATCTTAAAAGGAATTAAATTACATTTATAATTAATATCCTCATATAAAGAATGAAATATCTTTAATAAGTTTACAATATAATAATAATGAATCAATAAAGAGTTGTGTTAACTTTAAATAGTAAAATAATATAAATGAAAACTAATTAAATAAATAGTATTAAGCAGATAATATTAATAATTAAGTTCAAATGTAATAGAATATTAAATAACAATAAGCATTATAAGAATAATAATAAATATAAAAGAAAATATAATATTAACAGTAATAGCTTTAAAATTAGTAATAATTGTAATAATAATAAAAGTAATTATAATAACAGTATAAACTAAAAGAATAGGAATAAATATTAGACCAAAAAAATTTATATTAATAAAATCATAATATATAGTATTAATAGTAAAACTAAATTGTTCCTAATTTGAGTTTAAATGATAATTATTAACAAATAGATAATAATAATTTTATAAAATCGAAATAAACGAAAAACAATAATTTCTAATAATAATAATAATAATAAAAAGTATATACTAATTAATTAATAAATAAATATATATAATTAAATATTTTTAATAAAAAAGGTATATTTTAATCCAAATGAAAAAAAGTAATAAATTTATCAATTTAATAATAAAAATACTGAAAAATAAATAGTATTTGAAATTAAAGAAATTAATAATATTGAAAAAAAGAAAAGTAATTAATCTTTGAATCAATAAAATATTTATTAATAATAATAATAGTTATTTTAATAGTACTAAATTTAAAAGAAAGTAAAAAAAAGTGAATATACAAAATAACCTCATTTAAACAGCAATTTAAGTAATATTAGATCATCTACTGCTGATAGCGCTAACTCAAATAGAACAAATAAAAAATATTATTAATGATTAAAAAAAATATAAATTTATAGCAATAGATTTTTTTTTTATAATAAATAAATAATTAATATAAAGCTAAAAACTAATTTAAATCCATATTTTTTATTTTTAAAATGAATTATATTATATTATAAAATTTAAATTTAAAATACTATATTTTAAAAAAGTTAAAAAATTTAAAAGCTAAAAAAAGGAAAATTAAAGAAATAAAAATAAAAAAAAATTAAAATAAAAAAAACATAAATCAAAATTAAAAAAAATAAAAAATAAAAAAAATGAGTACATAGACAAATACTCAGACTATAGCTAAGAGATTATCTTAATTAAGTAAAAAAATAATAAATAAAAAAATAAATAACATAAAAATAAGCGCCTCAAACATAAACAGAAATTCTTAATGAAACAAAAAATTATTTAAATTAATAAAAGCTTTCTTTAGATGATTATCGTTAAATATGGAAAGGAATATTTTTCGGTATAAAAAATATAATAAAATAAAAAGATTACTTTAAAAAAAAAAGCAATGTGGGCAAGTGATAAAGAACCAAATCAATAATAGCTAGCTGAAGAATTATCAAAATTAATTTTAAGTGTAAATTAATAAAAGTTAGAAAGTATACTTTTATGGATATAAGCAACTTTTAGTATAATGAATAAGGAATGGAGTAAAATTGATTATTGGAGAGTTAATAAATTTCAATCTTTAATAAGAAAAATTTTTATATAAATTGTTCGTTTTTTACAAAAGAAAAAATATAATTAAGATGTAATTAAGTAAATATATATATGTATTTATCTATATTTTTTTTTTTAATTAATTAAAAATATAGTTTGTGAGATAAATAAATAAAATAATTTATTAAGAACTTTATTAGGAAATAACTTAGACAATAAATGGCTTAGCTTTGCATTTTTTGCAAATTTTTATTGAAGTTTTAAATACATTTAAGAAAATTTCACACTAATAAATTAGTCTTTTTTTAGATTTATTCTTAAAATAAATTAATGATAAGGCTTCAAAAAACTTAAGGGCGAAAATTAGAGAAAATATAGTAGAAAAAATTATTGAACTTAAAAAAGTTTCTGAGTTTAAAAATTTTTGCCTATATAATTTTAGGGAAAAATTATTTAATATTGCCAAAAAACAAAAAACCGAAGATGCTACAAGAAAAGAAATGTACGGATATGTTGATTTGATTGATAAAAGTATTGATTTAGAAAAAGAAAAATAAGATTATGAAAACTTTTAGAAAATAAAAGAAGAATAAAAAAAATTAAATTAAGAAAATAACAATCAAGAAAAAAATAAAAAATAAATAGAAAATAATAAGAAAAATGAACAAAAAAATAACGAAAAAACAACTAAAGACTCAAAAAATAACGAAAAAACTGCTATATATATGAAAAATGGGGATAAACTTAATAAAGATGAAGAAAAAATATAAATAAAGAAAGAAAAAAATGGCGAAAAAACTTAAAAAAATGAAGAAAAAATTAATTTAAAAACAGAAGAAAAAAATATTTAAAAAAAAGTTGAAAAAGTTAATTAAAAAAACCAAGAAAAAAATAATTTAAAAACTGAAGCAAAAGTTGATTTGTAAAAAGAAGAAAAAAAAACAATATTAACGAAATCCTAAAAAAAAGAATAGAAAAAATTAGAAAAATTATAACAATTAATAGATGAAGAAGAATCTAAACTTTAAAAAAACAAGAAAAAATAATAACAAGAAAAAATTGTATAAGAAGAGGATGAAGATTATTGTGAAGAAGAAGAAGATGATGAAGAGTATTAAGAAGAAGATGATGATGATGATTTTGAGATGGAAGGAGGATCTGAAGAAAATGAACTCGAAGAAGATGAAGATGATGATGATTACGAATTATAATATGGTGATGATGACGAAGATTTTGATGAGGAAGAACTATAAATGTTAATAAATAATGCAGGAAACGATATTGAAATTGATGATATTGATGAAGAGTTCTATAATGATGAAGATTTTGAAGGATATAATGTTAAATAAGTGTTAGGAGACAAACAAAAACTTAATGCTTTATAAAATGTTTATAATAGCTTCCCTTAATATCATTTTATGACTGAAAACGAAAAGCTAAAATACTTCACGAAACTAACCAAGAAATTCTAAACTGATTTACTAAAAGCTAAAATTAAATAATGCACACATTAAAAAAATGTCAAATTTGATATTAAAAATAATACAGTTTAAGGTATTTTTATATTTTTTTATTTTTATTTTTTATTTTTTATTTTTTTAGAATTTCATTTTTAAGAAGAAGTTAATGCAATTAAGAAAGTACCAGTTATTAAAAAAATTTAAAAAGTTAATAATGGAAAATGAAAATAATATATTTTTTTTTATTTCATAATTGAATAGTTAAATAGATATAAATACATTTCATTAATAAAATAATTCATATTTGGAAAGAATTCATCAAATAAATATATATTATAATTTTTATAATTTATAATTTAAAAGTATATTATAAAAAAAATTATTAAATTTTAAATTAATATATATATATATATAAAAAAACTAAATTTTTATTTATGTATCATGTTTAATATTCTTGTTTTAGATTATTATTATTCTAAATTAAAGGTGAGTAAAGATTGAAATTATTGTTAGAGTTGTAAATAAAGTTAGGATAAGGACTTTATAATAAAGGAGAATAATCATAATTTAATTTATTATTTTGCTAAGTTTATTATTATTATTATTTTATTTATTCTTAAGAAATTAAATAATAGTCTTTATATTAATTTTAATTATTTATTTTCTAATTTTTCTACACAAACTTTATCTCGCTTTATGATTTTTATATCATTTCGATTATTTTTTTTTTATGATTTTAAATTAATAAATCATCACAATCTTTATTCTATAACATATTATTATTATTAAATCCGAATATATCCTCTGAATATTTAGCAAAAACATCCTTTAAATGATCCTATGCTTATTTTAATGCTTCCTTCATTAATCCCTAACTACTATCATCTTAGTTTTTTGAAGAAGTCATTGCCTCCGTCATATGTACATAAGGAGTTATTATATATTCAGAAGGGTTTTTATGATTTATTGTTCTTATTAATATCGTATTTATTATTTTTGATTTTCTGTCTCTGGTTTCTTTTTTTCCTACTCTTCCTTAAGATTCATATATTTTTAAAATAGCCTTACACGTAGATAATTTAAGTCCATATTTTTCCGCTACCTTTTTTTCAAATTTATTTTTATATAATTTTTTTATTATATATTTTTATACTTCTTTTATATTAGTGTTTTCGTTCTTTACTTTATTAATTATCTCTTATCGAATTTAGTTAGAAATTTTCTTGTATTTTTTTTAAGATTTTTTTGGAGTATTTTCTTTAGACTAATGCAAGTTATATGTTTAAAGCTTTATTGGAGTTTATTGACTATACATATTTTTTTTTTTTTATTTTTTTTTCGATTATGTATAATTATTATTTTGTTTTATTTATTGAAATTAAATATTTATGGTTAATTATTTTTATATTTTATAAAAAATATTTAATTTTATTTATTCTTTTCTTTTGTTTTTCAGATTAAGTATTTTTATAAAATTGCATAATTTTAATTTTATTTTATTTTCAAAAAAATTTATAAAATTTTCAAAATTTTTTATCTCTTAAAGTAAAATATTATTTTAATTTAATAATCATATTCAATAAAAATAAATAAATGTTATATATAAAATAAAAATATATTCATACTTTTATTATAATATATTAATAATTATTATAATATTATGTAATTAGTATTTCATAAAGCCTTTATAGCTCAGTCGGGAGAGCGCAAGACTGAAGATCTTGCGGTCCTCGGTTCGATCCCGAGTGAAGGCATTTTTTTATATTATAAAAATAAAATATTAAAATTTTGAATAAATAATTTATTTTTTAATTTAAAAATATTAAATTAATTTTTATTTTTATATAAAAAAACATTATTTATATTTTAAATAAAAACAAATATATATATATATTAATTTATATAGTTTATATTAAAAGAGAAATTATTTTTTCAATTCTGTTCTTAATATTTAGGACTTTAAAAATATCTAAAAACTTTTTTTGAATAAAATTAATCTAATAGCAATAAACAAGGAAAAATCAAATAAAATCCTAAAAAAGAAAAAATTCCAAAAAATTTTTATAAATAATAAACATGTCTTTAAAATAAAATCTATTAAACTCCAACAAGAAAAACATAAAAACAAGTGAAATAGTTATATACCCAATTTTTATCATGATGAGGATATTTAGTATTATAAAAAAATAATTCAAAATATAATAAAAAATGGTTTATTCCATGTGTAAATATTATATATTCAGTTCCTAACTATTCAAAAGTGTTTTATCCGAGTAATAATTTACTATTAAAAAAAAACATATTGCCCAAAAAACTATGAAAACTAAAAAAGACAAAGTGAAAACAGATTAAAAATAAATATCTAAATAGCCCTTATTTTTATACTAAGATTTTACAAAAAACTCATATAAGCTCCAAATATAATATATACATATAAGTACATGATTAAGATTAGTCAAGTATAAAAATTATTTCCATAACATCCAAACACTTAAATTATCGTTTTTTAAGTAGTTTAGATTTATCATATGCTTAAGGTAAAATAAATTAATATAGGCAAAAATAATATTTGTAATTAAACGCAAGTATTTTGTTTAGATAAGATGCTTATTTTTTAAACAAATATTTACTATTTATAATTCAATTTTTTATTTCATTTTTAATATTTTTTATTTTTTATTATTATTTAAAGTAAAAAAAAAAATATTAAAAATTATGATAGATTTTCTATTTAGTCTAAAAAAATTAAAATTATAAAAAAGAAAATGCTCTAAACAAATTTTAATTTAGAAGAAGATAATATAATTTTAAATATAATATTTCATAATAATATAGAATTACATTATCAAGCTTAAAATACATTTTTTAAATTATAAAACATACCGACAGTAATTAAATATGACGTTTTAATTTTAATAAAAGGTATAGCATAATTAATTTATTTATAATTATTATAAAAATAAAAAGAGAATAATTACTCCAGTATTTTTACTATATAATGAAATTTTTATTCATTATTAAATTAATTGTGCAACTTTAGTTTTAAAATTTTTTATTTATTTCAACAAAATATTGTTTATTAGTTATTACAAATAATTTATAATGTATTTCTTTTAATAGATGGCCGATTTATTTTAAGTAAAATAAAATAAAATATAAATTTAATTTTAATCACTTTAACATTCTCCTCTAAAAAAACAGTGTAAAATATCTTCATCAATAGAGAAGCCAAATACAATTAAATAATAATTAAATGAATATATAAAGCCAAACACAAATAAATATTAAAAAATATGAATATATTATTCTATATAAATAATATTTTAATTAAATAATTAATGATTAAATTATAAATAACCTACATTTACAATATTAAAATTTTAGTTATGATATAAATAAAAATTAAACTTATTTAAGTCGCAAAAATTCAAATTAAATATATGGAATGTTTTGATGAAAAAGAAAAATTATTTAAAAATGAAATAATTATGATATAATGACAATAATTATAAAAAATAAAACTTTCAAAATTGAATAAAGTAAATTTAATATTTATTTTATTAAATTTTCATTATATTAGATATATTTAATTAATAAATAATTAAAAAGAATACGATATTATAAGCTAATATATACTAGTATTGTTACAGATAATTTTATTGATAAAAATAAGTAGTGTTTAAATATATTTAATATAAAAATATATGTTTTTTATATATTCTGAGTTTTTCTAAAACTAATAATTTATAAAATTTATAAAATTAATAATATAATTATTTAAGTAAAAAAGTAATGTTAAGCACAAACTCAATAATATAAAATTATAATTATTAACTTTATATATTTTAATAAAAAGCATAATTATTAAATTTTCTATTATTATAATAATGAAAAGATTTATTTTCTAAAAAATTAATTTTTATAAACTTTTACGAGATAAATCTTTTATTAAAATAAATTAAACTAAAATTAAAAAAATAACTTATTTAAAATTATAATTATGCAATTACATTTGTGAAGCTCGGGTAGCTCAGTTGGTTAGAGCGTGGGTCTAATAAACCCAAGGTCGAGGGTTCAATCCCCTCCTTGAGCATTTTTTTTTATAAATAAAGATATAAAAATAATATATATAAAAAAAATTAATAAAATTAAAATTAAAATTAGATTTGAAAATAAATAAAAAAAAATGTAATACATAAAATATATATAGTTTAAAATTGCTCATTATTTTAATCATAAAAAAATAAGATTCAGAATGAACTAAATAGAGGTATAAATAGACAAAATATGTGCTTCAATATCAAAATCTATATAAAATTTCTTATTATTATTTTTTAAATTATTTCATAAACTCAAATTACAAAGATATGAAAATATGTTTTTCTATAATCACAAAATAGCCTAATTAATATTCAATTTTTTTATTCATAAAATAATGTTATTATATAATGTTTAAATACTATTTTTTAATTAATTAATTATAGTATATTATTTCATTTTTACTTCTGTAAAACATACAAATCTATCTTATTGGCTTTTAATATTCTTTTGTCTATAGGCTATTTTTATACATTTTATACATTTTTTAATCTTTTTAATATTTTAATATTCGAATAATCTCTAAATAAGAGTTGTTTAGTTTGGGATTATTTTTTTGCTTTTTTTCTTTTAATTAAAGACATTATGGCTGTAGTTTTCTGATTATTTTGAAAACTATGTCTAAATTTTTTATATTTTAATTTGTTTTTCGATATTTTATAGAATTTCTGATTTAAACTTGATCTCTAATATTTCTATGTCTTTATAATAATTTTTCAAAAATGGTATTATTTTAATTTCTAGGGGTATTTTTTTATTATTACTTTAATTATTTTTTCGATTATAAAGTTTAAAAATGCAAAAGCTATTTTTAATATTGATATCTTCTAGCAATTTAAAGAACAAAAAATGTTTATTAATATTAAGATTTAATAAGATATATACGTTTTGATATGAAAATAAATATAAATAATAAAATTCGTAAATGCTTTAAAGTATATAACATGAAATAAATTATATAAATATGTTAAAATATTATCAAATAGAAAAGCCAAATAAATTATAATAATAGCTCTAAATATATATTATAATAAATTTTTGAAAAAAATCCAAGATTTAAAAGCATTTTAAAAAAATAAAATGTTAAATACTAATATGAAAATTATAATTTTAGAATAGTAAAGAAATTAATTATATAAATTATAATCATTATGTCATAGATTTATTTACTAAAAGTATATTTTACACAAATTTAAAATATAATAACTTATTTATATTTAATACTTTTATACGATGTATTATTATATTATTTTTTGAAATTATTTTTGTATCAAAATACTTTATATTTTTATGTGCTTATTATAATAATTTTTGCTTTAATTATTGATATTTTAATTAATTTATTTTTTATTTATAAAAATTAATATCAATATATTTATTCGAATAATATAATAACATAAATTATTTATAATATTGTTTTTTATTTTATATTTGATATATTTATTTTTATTTATAACATTATTATTTAAATATATAATATTTATTTTTATATAAATATAAAATTATGTTTATTTTCAAAATAACTTATATATAATTTATTTTCAATATTAAGAATAAGTAAAATTCAATAAGCTTGGGAAATAAATGATTCAAACTTAAAAACAATTATAATATACAAACATAATGTAATAATTATAGATATACTTAAAATAAACTATTTAAACTTTCTAAAATTAAAATTCATGCTCTTTTTCATAATTATTAATTTTTTAAACAAATATAATTTTCATTTATTATTAAAATTATAAATTAATAAGAAATAAAAAAATCAATTAAAAAGTAAAATATATAAAATAATATATATATCTATATTATTAGCATTTTTATTATTTTCATATTTACATATAAAAATCTTTAGAAATATTTAGAAAAATAAATTAATGTTTTTATAAAATTCAATTTAAAATAAAAGTCCACGAATTAAAATATTTTTTATAAAAATATAAAAATAGAAATACAATTTCTTTTAAAAAAGCATAAATTTATTTAATAATTTTTTGTTTAAATATAAAAAATCATAAAACATTATTTGATTTTTTATTTTCTTCATTTTTATTTTTTTCACTTTTTCCTCTAATTTATTTTAATAATTCTTCACTATAATGAGTAACCTCACATAAAGCTTAATCATCTTCAGCAAATCTAGATCCCTTTTTTTTATATATTCTAAATCCGTAAATTCTAGGAATATAAGTAGATTAATTTTTTTAAGGGACCAAATCTGGATAAGTAATAAGTAAATTTTATGGAAAAGAAACACCAAAATAACATCCGTCAACATCAGGGCTTTAAATTTTTAGAATAAAAAAATTTATATTTAATTATAAAAAGTTTACCATCTATTTTTATTTTAAAAATATTTAAATATAATTTTTGTTTATTTTTTTACTTCTTTTTAGGAATATATACATCTTCACATCTTGGGCAAAACACCTTTTTTTTATTTTTGATTTCTTTGTATAAAAACTATATAATTTATTTTTTTTATACTTTCACTCTAGAAGTTCTTAATTCTTCGCTCATCCCTAAAGGTAATACGTTTTACCTTTCACAGAGTACTCTTGGGCATACTCCAAATCTTCCTAATAAATATTTTTCCCTCATTAATGCCAAACCTTTAGGAGAAGTTATAAATCTAGAATGAATAAGTCCATAAACATCAGTTGCTTCTTGATAGATTTCAAGAAATCTTTTTTTTTTAAAATTATTTGAAAACAAAAAATAAACAATAATGATAAAAACCTTTCATCTTCTAAATCATCATCATCAGGACTTTCAGTAGACAAAATCATTTCTATAGCCTCACTTTTTATTTTTAGTAAAAAAATTGCATTAATTTAATATTTTAAAGTATACATTAATAATATATTATTTATTTATTATATTTCAAAAATTAAAACTTGTAATGATTAAATTTTTGTTTTATGCCGTATAAATTAAAATTGTCTCTTATAAATTCTTCGTCAACTTCACATAAAAATTGATGATCTTCTAATGCACAAAACCAGCTTATCCAACCTCCTGCAACATCCGAATACTATGAATCTTCTATTTATTAAATTATAGGAAGTTTTTGTTTAATTTTTTATAAATATTAATGTTTTTACCAGACATTTATTATGTTTTTATTATTTTTGTTACTTTTTTTTGTTCTTTTTATTCTTTTATTTTAATATTTTTTTATATTAATTTAAATTTTTTGTTTAAAGAATTTGGATTATGAATATACTATTATTATACAAATAATAATGATATATAAAAATAATTACCAAAATGTTATAATTAATATTAAAATAATCAAAAAAGCTAATTATTAGAGATTTCAATTTACAATTTTAAATTTTTTATTTAATAAATATTATATTTAAAGATACAATTAAATAAAAAATATATATAAATAAATATGTAAATATAAAAATACAATTAAATAAATATATATATATAAATAAATATGTAAATATAAAAATATATAAATATAATAATATATATTTAAGACTAATAAAAATAAATATTATAAATATTTTATTTATTTTATAATAGAGTTTTTTATTTAAAAATTGTATTATTTATGAAAAAAAGAAATCATATATATATATACAAACATAATTATAAAAAAAAAATTAAAAAAAATTAAAAAAATCAAATGATAGCAAATAGGCTTGCTTCTTTAAGAAAATTAAGAAAAAACATTATCCCAAAATACAACTTTTGCATATTTTTCCCTATATAGAACCCTTAAAAGCACATTAACACAAGCCACAACCCTAATAACGTATATGAAGATATAATAATGCTTGGTGATTATCCTATGCCTGATAAATTTGCATAAAAAGAAGTATCATAAGTATACATACCTTAAATATCAAATGTTGTTTTAAATTTTTTATCAAAGAAATATGTAATATATTTTTTTTATTAAAACAAAAAACATTAAAATAAAAAAATAGCCTTAATTATAAGATATATAATATGAATAAATTAAAACTAAAAAATGGGAAGAATTTGGAGTTAATTTATTGAATGAAAAACAAGAAATATTAGTCGAATTGAGTGAATAAATATTTGTCAAAGAAAGCAAATACAGATGGCCAATTGAATAGAGATAAAGGTTAGAACACACATCAATTGCTTTTAGTGGAGCAGATTTTTCAAATATTCCGATTTAAGCTTTTATTGAATCTTATAATATTATACTTAGAGCTCAGATAGAAAGATCGCATCTATACTAAAGTAAGGATATTTTGGGGGAATTAAGCTTCAAAGAAAAGCTTAATTAATAAGTGTCCAGTTTAAGATTAGGAATTAAAGAATTAAACTAAAATAAAATAGAAAATAATAGCTTGATAAATAAACTAATGAAAATTATTCATAATTGAAAATATTATTAGTATATGACAAATATTTTGATATTTTTATATTCATTATTATTATTTTCTATTCATTTTTTTTAAAAAAAAGATAATAAAAATAAATTATATATTTTCGTAGCCAATATTGCTTTAAAATATTTAATTAAAATAAAAAAAAATTAAGTTAAAAATATTAATAAAATAATTAATAATAAAATATATCAAATTTTAAAAAGTTTTAAAAGATAAAATATTATAAACTATTTAAATAAAAAAAAAAGTAATAAATATATTAGTATAATTATAACATAAATTAAAAGAAATTTAAAAAAAAATTAATAATTGAAATGTAAAAATAATTAAATAAAATATATATATAATTAAAAAAAAAATAATATATAAATAATAATAATAATAATAATAATAATAATAATAATAATAATAATAATAATAATTTTTTTTTATTTATTTAAATACATTTATTGTCTCTTTATAATTATCTATTAAATAATTGTTTAATTTTAATAAATTTTTAAAATTATATATAATAATAATATTATAATTAAAAAAATTATAATAATTGTTATGAAAACTAAAAACCTATTATATTGAATTAAAGATTACTAATATTATTTATATTTAATCTTTTTCTTATTTTTTTTATCTTTACTAATAAAATTTTTAAATTAATTTAGTTTAAATTTTACTGTAAATTTAATTTACTATTTAATTTTTATAAAGTAATTTATTCAATAAAAAGTTTTTTTAATTTCTTTTCACTTAAATTAAATAATCTAAAATATGCTTTTTATAAAATATATAATAATTATTTTTATCTAAATTTTATTTAATTATAATTAAATTTTAGATAAACTAGAATAATTTAAGAATGTCCAAAAATTTAAATAAATTAAAAGAATATGAAATAAATTATTTTAATTTATAATTTTTGATTAATATATATTAAATATTTTAATATCTATAAAAAAAACAAATTAACATCTACTTAAGTAATATAAGTTAATATAATTTTTTTTAATTTACTTTAAAATTTTAAAATAAAATAAATGTAAAAATAATTAATATATGATACATAAAATATTTTAAAAAATAAAAAACATAAACTAATTAAAATGCGAATCGTTCGAAAAATTTTTTAATTATTTTATATATGAAAATAAATAATTATTATTTAATTATTATCTAATATTTTTTAATTCATATAAATAATTATAAATCAAATCATTAAAATTCTTTTTATATTAAATCAATTTTTTTATAATTAGTAAAATAAAATTCAATTTTTTTCTTTTATAAAAAATATTATCATAATTAATATTTTTTTATGTAAAAAAATTTTAAATACTAATTATTTTCTTTATATTAAGATATATAAAATTGCATAATTTTTATGAGAAAATGTTTACTAAGAAATTTTTATTTATAAATTTACAAAAAATATAGATTCTAAATTTGTATTTTTGCTTTTGTATTTAGAAAAGATATTAAAAACAAAGCAAAACAAATAGTTTAATCAAAATACCACTATTTCTTAGATAAAAAATAATATTAGTTGAGCACAGATATTCAGGAATTCTTTATGGTGTGTAAATACATTAAAAAGTTTTAAAAAAACAATTAAAGTTGGTATAAATAATTTGAATTAATTAAATATATAGTTATTAAAAGATAATTCATTAATAGTATTTAAAATATGAATATAAATAAAAAAAAATAATAAAAAATAAAAAGGTAGTTCATGGTCAAAGAAAATGATATAATACATTATAATTAAATGAAAGTTATATAACAAATAGAAGAAATGACATACTAAGAAATTAGAGAAAATTATAAAATAAAAGAGAATAATTATAAAATTCCTTTATTAAGGTAATAAATAAAATAATGCACAGAAAAAATAAAGGTAAATATAAAAGTAAAAATTGAATAGGAAACTATTTATTAAAAATATTAGAATTATGTATAAATCAAAGAATGATAGATAACATTTATATAAGTTTTTTTATTTGTTTTGATAAAAAAATCTAGGCTTATTATTAAAAACAATTAATATATAAAAAAATGTAGACAAATTAAGTTTTTGATTTGGAAAAGAGAAGAGATTTTGAAAGCAATATATTAGGTTTTCCTATTGATTTTGTTTATGATTATTATGCTCTAATTTTTTTAAATAAAAAAAAGAAAAACATGCAACTCAATGTTTATTTTAATATGGTAATATTAAAAATAAATTAATTGATATAGATGCTTATAATATTATAAGTAATTAGACTATCTTTATTATAAGTTTTTTTGATTATTAATGATATTTTTATAATTCTTTGTATATATATTTACAATAAATAATTTAAAGTATATATTTTTAATTTTTTTTTTTTTAAAAAAAAATATTAACTTCATTCTAACTAAAATTTATATTTAATTTCTTTTTTTTTTCTAGTTAATTTAAATGGCAATTCACATTTTATATCTAATTAATTTACATTACTTTAATTTTTACTAATTTACATATTTTACAAATTCAATTTTTAAATTAGCTTTTCTTATATTTAGTACAACTCTTATATTTAATTATTATTATTTTATTATTTTAATTTATCCTATTCTTCTAAAACTTTCTATTTTTCTTGATCAGTGTAAAACTATTTTACTGTTTATAAATAATTTATAGCTTCTATTTTACTTTAATCTTTAAGAGTTAAATAAAAATTGTTTTTTTTTTATTCTTTTAATCAAAGAAATCTTATAATTAATATATACTCTAAGGCGTTTAACATTATCTTTATTAATTATGTTAATTTTACTAAATATAATCAAAGTAATTTCTACTCGAATTAGATAATTATGCTTGAAATTTTTATTTAGATTATTGACTATATTAACTTGAATTCGAGTGATCTTTGCTTTTTTTTGGAATATTTTAAATTAATTCATTTTATATATTTTTTTGTGAAGAGTTTTATCTATTTTTAGGCGTAATAATTTTTTAACTTTATAAAGGTGATTAAAGTGAACTATTTTTAGATCGATTGAGATATTGTTTTGATATATTGTCCTTTTTTAATAAAGAATGATTAATATTTTTTGAAAAAATACCCTATTAATAGTAAATTTTGAATCAAAAAAATATTCATCATATTATTAAATTGAAAAATCAATATTTTTTAATCTTTCATCTATTTAATTTATTTTAGTCTAAACACTTTATTTTATATATTATTTTGAATAGTTATCACTTAGTACTCTTAATTCGAAATCGTTTTTGGTCAAAATTAATAACTTTCCCTTTGCACTAGTACAAACTACACTTTTTTTATTTATTTTTTTAGTAAAAAAATAAAAAACTATTATGTTACCTGTAGTTTCTTTTGTTTTATTTTAATATGATTTCTTCTTCACCGAAAGTATTAGAAACAGAAAGTAAAAAAAGTTTTACTTATATAGGTTTTTAATAGTTTACATCTTTTGTTTTTATAGAAAATAATTAATGTTTTTCTAATAAAACATTAGAATATTCATTATAATAATCATCTAATTATTGCTCTTTATTTTCTTAATCTGATTAAATAATTTAATTTAAACTATTATTATTATAATTTTCGCTTATTTGTTAATTTTGGAATTTATTGTTTTTTTTTTTTTTAATACCTTTTTTTTTTTATGTTATTTTTTTTTTTATGTTATTTTTACTGCAAAACTTCCTGAATATATTATATAAAAATTATTTGGTTCATCTCCTTCTTAATAAACAAACTAGTTAATTTTATATTTCTATTTTTAAAAATTAACATATACATTTATTTATTATTGTTAACACCAATTATTAAAAGGTGGAACCTAATTCATTATATTGATTCCTTATTAAAGTTTTTTTTTTTCTTATTATTTTAAAATTTCGCAAAAATCATCTTTATAAAGGACTCCAAAATGAGTATCCTTTTTTTAAAAAAACCATTTTTTAGCAGAAAAACAAATATATATATAAAACTGTATGTGTCATTATAGTTGCTGATCTAGGTTTATCTTCTAAAAGAGCTAACTCTCCAAAGCTATTTCCACTTTATAATTCTTTAAAAAATCGTAAGCCATAGGTATTGTCTTTAATTGGATCGTTTGTTTATTTTATATATATTGGATTTAAAATGGAAAAATCTCTAGGAAATCTTATATATATACCTACAATTCCTTATAATATTATATAAAATTTATTTCCATAAGAGCCTATTTATTTGTTAATAATTTTTATTATTTTTTAAAAATAACCATATTTAAAAACTAGTGATTTTGCAGGAAAAAATTCATATTTCATTTATTAACAACATTTTTTATGTATATCTTTGTTTCCTTCTTTAATATAGTTTTTAAAAAAGTTTATTTCTTAAGTTTATTTTTATATTTCATTAAGTTCATCCAATTAACGTTTATCTACATCTTTTTATAAAATTTCAATTAATAACTTTTTAATTAATTTTATTATGTTTATATGTATATATAAATATGTTACATTAAACTTTCTTTATTCATATGTTAAACTTTAATTATCAGTTTAACAATTTTATTCCATTATTTTTTTAAAATATAATTATTTTATTTTTGAATATAAATGAAAATGAATAAAATATTAATTTAACGAATAAATTTATTAATTTTAATATAAAATCAAATAAATAATTATAAAAAAATATTTCGATATACATTAATTTTTTAAAAAAGTATATATTATTTTTTTATTTTTTGTTTAAAAAAAAAAAGTAAATATAAATATTTAATGTTATGTACAATCTAAAAACAAATATGGACATAAAAACTTTTATATTAAATTAAAAAAATAATAAACATATATTTTAATAGATTTATTTATTTCTAATAAAAATAAATAAACTATCATTATCATTAACAATTATTTTTTCTTTTTTGAGAAATACTTTTGGTAATTTTATTGTTAAAAATTAAATTATTCTCAATCTATTATTTTACTTAAATTCCTTAATTGAAATTTTGTTTATTTTGGTTTTAATCAACTCTACTTTTTTCAATTTAACTAATAACATGTTTTCCTATTTATTTATTTTTAAAAACATATATATATATATATATATATATATATATATATATATATATATATATATATATATATATATATATGTGAAAAACAGCAATACCATAATTATTAGAAATAATATCATTGTAAATATCGTCATTTTAAAACAAATATTCACAAATTCTCTTTTAAACTTAAAAATTTGATCTTTCATAAAATTTTTAAATTACATAATTCCCAAAAGCATTTTTAGTAAGTTTAATAAACCCAGTACTTATATTTTATTATAATTTAAAAAAATAAAAATATTATTATAATACTCTAAGTAATTATTTGATAATTAATTAAATAAAACTTCCAAAACACCCATTTTGTAATCATCATTAGAATTAAAAAGCGATTTTTCAGTAACATTAGAGGCAAATTTATTCAATGATAGTTAAACGAAATTCTATTTTACAACATTTAAAATATTGTCTCTATTGTATCCAGGCTTTTTTTCAATTATGTATTAAATGATATAGTTCCCATATTAGCATTTGCATAAGTTAATTAAATTTATTAACAAATTTTCATAAATTTTACTTGTCTTTTTTTAAAAAACAAATAAATAAATAATATAAATCAAATTATATACTTCATTAGGTTAACAAAACTCTAAAATTTTCTAAATAACTCTACAGCCATAAGGATGAAAAGCTAAAGTATCAATCTTTATATGTAAATTTTAATAATAATAAAAAATAGTACATTTTGAATAACTTCTGTAATAATAAAACACAATTTTTAAGAATTAATACTTTCAAAACATTTTTAAATAACATGATTTCCATGTTAATCTTAAATACAAATCATAATTTTATTATTTAATTCTTACAATAATTCTTCTTGTAATTCTGGAAAATCTTTTAATTCTTCGATTGCCTTCTAAACAACTCTACATCCATAAGTATGTAAAGATAAATCTCCCATTTTTCCTTTTAAAACTAAGAACAACATATTTTTATGTTATATGCTTCCTTTTTTTTTATTGTAAATAAAAAAATAATTAAAGAGTATATTTTATTTATACCTTTTTCAAAAAATTTTTGAATTACATAATTTCCAAATTAATCTTTCATTAAATCATAAGCTACAGGAAGGATTTATTAAAAAATAATTTCTTTTTCTTCATCAGATGATAGTTCGAACTATTTTTGAATTAATCTTGAGCTATTTTAATCTTTACATGATTAGATTAGGTCTTAATATATTATCTTTTAGCAATTCGATGGGGTAAAAACAATAAAATTTTGTGAATCCTTTTTGCGATTTTAAAAGTTAAAATTATTTTTAGTGTTTGTAATATTTTAATAGAATTAATTTTAAGAGAAATCAGGAAATTATTCAATATAGTTTTTTTCTTTTAATCTTTAAATTTTATTATAAAAAAATAAAAAATAGTATATAAAGAATATAAAATTATTTTTTTTTTAAAAAAAAAAATATTAAATTATTTTGATTTTTTTTTAAAAAATAATAAAATTATTTTAATTTTTTTTTTTTGAAAAAAAATTATTAAATAAAAATTAATTTTTTAATTATATTTTATTAAAATTCTTTTTTTTTTGTCAATTTTTTATTTTAAAATATTAATTACCCTTAGTCATATAAATTCTAATTAATTTATAAATATAAGATATCATTATAAAAGTTTTATTCATTGTTTCCATTTTCATAATAAGTTTCATTTGAATTTATATTCACAGAGTCTAAAAGTTAAGTAACATCAATATTATTTTAATCCCATTATAATTATTATTTTTAGTAACTTTACTACTTATTACAGAAATTAGCATAATTTTAATCATAAGAGAATAAATTTTAATAATTATCTATTTCTAATATTTAAGGTGTCTGTTTGTTATTATTATTTCTTAATTATGTAAAATCATCTTCTAAAAAAATAAATATTATATTTTAATCAAAACATAATTTGAAAAATTATTTTTATTAAAAAAAAAAAAAAATATTAGTTTAATTTATATTTTACCATCTAAAATACCGTCCATTATTAATTTATCTTCTTCTTCAATTGAGCTTGTGTATCGCTCATCTTTTTAAATGTTTTACATTTTATTTTTTAATTAACTAATTACTTTTTATTATTATTTTTTTTTATCTATTTGAAGTCTTTTATATGTTTTATTAAATAAAAAACTTCTCTTTATTTGAATATTTTTTTATATAAATTATATATAATAGTATATATTAAAATAAAAATATTATATAAATCTTTATAATTTAATTTTATTATTATATTTAAAATAAAAGTTTAATTTTAATTATAACTAAAAAGCATTATTAATCTAAATATATAAACATTAAATATTTTTACAAAACAATTATAATTTTATATAAAAAAAAATATTTTAAAAAAACAATTAAAATAAACAAAATAAATTTATTCTAAAATGTTATAAAAAAATATAAAAACTTAATTTTATAATAAAATAAATTTACATTTTAAATTCTTTATTTTATTTCTATATTTTTATCTTTTAATTGTATATTTAATATTAATATTATAAACATATATATATATATATATATATATATATATATATATTTTATATATATATATTTTATTATAAAATTATCTTTATTGATTTTAATATTTAAAATAGTATTTTGTTTTGTTTATTTTACTTAATTAAAATTAGTTTAATTTTTCATAAATTAAAAAATAAAATAAATAATTTCCAAAAAATCAAAATTTAATTGAAATTATATTATTTTTTCCCTAAAAAAATTCTCTTTTATTTTAATTAATTTTCTATTTTATTTTTCATTAATTTTTTTTGACAATAAAAAGCATAATTTATTAGATTTAATAATTTATATAATTATAAATTTATTCATTTTTATATATTTTTAATCTAATATTATAGAAATATGAATAATTGTATTTACAAGTATTTTATTTTTGAAAATTATTAATATAATTTATTACAATTTTTTACTTTTTATTTTATTTTTAAATTATTTTTATTTATCCGAAGTTTTTTATTAAATTTTAAAATCTTTTGAAGTTTAAATAATAGTTTTTTATAATTTTTATATCTTCACAATTTTATTTTAAAGCCTCTTTATGTCTGGTAGCCATTTTATTTTTTCTATTTTTCTTTTTATTCTAATTTATTTAATTTTTTCTTGTGTTAATTAATTATTGATTTAGGAGAATATTATATTTTTGTTTAAAAATTTAATAATATATGTATTTTTTTATTAAAAAAAACTTTTTTTTAAATATATTTTTTGTAATTTTTTATATTTTTGGTTATTTTACATATTATTTATTTTTAAATAATTTTTTTATATTTTTCAATATTTTTTTTTCTGTTTATATGACTATTAGTCTTATTAATTTTATTAGTTTTCTAAGTAGCTGCTTTGTATTTCTTTCCAAAAGCTATTAAGCTATTTATAAAAATAATAATAATAATAAAAAAAAAAATTAAGTTATTTACATCTTCTAAATTTTTAACTTATGATCTACTAAAAGTTTCGAAAAAATATTAATAATCTTTATATGATTTTTGGAAGTATTTATCTACCTAATTATTAAGCATATATTATATATATCCGAATTAATCTTTTAAATGATTTTCATATATTGTTTCCTTTAAAATATAATAATATATATTTTTGGAAAATAAATAGAATTTGAAAATACCTTTGTACACATAACTCTAAATGCATCATTTTTATTATTTAAGATCTTTTCAGGTTAATAAGTAATATTATGTGCAATTTCCCATTTTGAAATATCTCCTATATAAAAAAGTTTAAAAAATTAAAAATAAATAAAAAAATACCTAAAGCAAAAAGTTTTTCTTTTTTTACATTTAACTTTTATTTGTATCTAAAATAAGCATTTTCATCTTCTTAAAATTACTTGTAAATATTTTAACTGAATCAAGTTCTTTTTCACCATATTTGAAAAGTTTACACATACTTTCGTTTATGAATTTTATTTAAGAAGTCATCATATTTCCCCATGTCATCATTAAATTATTAAAAAAAAGATAACTATCTTTCAGTTTTTAATTTTAAGGCTATGTATGTTTTTATTTTATTTTTTTCATTAAAAATATAAATAAAATAAAATAAAATAATACTTATTTTTCTAATAATTTTTAATCAAAATCATTAAAACTTTTAAATAACTAATCAAAAAGTGTTCCCATATTAAACATAGTAGTAGATATTTTATCAAAATCTTCTTTTAATTATTTAGATTAGACTTTAAGTCTGAATAAATTTTTGTTTTTATAAAAATAAAAAGTAATTACTTTTAATATATTAATTATGCTTAGTTTAAAAATTTATACGATTCTTCTGCAAATATATAAGAAGAATTCGAAATTAAAAGATTTAAATATCCATTTATGGAAGTATATTTTTTCAAATTCCTATTGATTTGAATTTTTTCAGCTTCTTTCATTTTATCTTCAAATTTTTGTAAATTATTTTCGCTTAAAAAGCTAATTAAATATTCATTACTCCATAATTCTTCATCTTAATTTAAATCCAAAATAAACATTTATAGATATTTCATTTATTTATCTATTCCTACTTTATCACTATTTATTGATCTTTTATTTTTTAAAGGAGGTAACTTTGTATTAATATAATTTTTAAAAATAAAATAAAAACTAATATATTTTACAATTTTTCCCGGATAAATTCTTTATAAAATATCCCTTATTGTATTAAAATCTTAATTTTTCCTTCTTACTTCCCAATTATGAGGTTTTATTACTATTTTATATGTTAAATATCCTGAAGTTAATCCAAAGTAACCACCAGATCTTTTTTCTGGTCTTATATTATAATATATAAGAAATGCAAATTAATATATATAAAAATAAATAAATATATATATAAAAAATTACTCAGTTACATCAACTTTAACTTTAGTATAAAAATGAATTAAAGGTATTTATTAAATACATTAAATTTACTTATTATAACCATATTAGGTAACTCCAAATTTTTCCTAATAAAAGAGAAAAAAACATATATATATACATATTTTTTTTAATAATTTGCTTTTACCATGCTTAAAAATATTTATTATTATTCCTCTTAGCTTTCTTCCTTGCATTTATTCTAATCTTAAATTTAAAAATCGTTATCTTATTATAGTTTAATTTCTATTTATTTTTATATTTTATGTTAAATCTATTTTTTTTAAATAAAAAAACCTACCTAATTATTTTTCATTATTTTCTTCTATTTCTTTATCAATATATTTTTTTGTGTATTTTTAATCTAATTAAGTGCATTCTAGGTCATGTGTTATTTTATTTATTTAAAATTTTATGTTTTTTTCTTGATTTGTTTGGTTTTAATTATTATATTATTTATAATTATAAACAATCTTTTTTATATTTTAAATTTTATCTATATTTTTAGTTTTTTTTACTTCTTCTAATTATTTAAAAGAGATACTATCAATATTTAAACCATCGGAATTATTTTATCTTAAAAAGTTCATAAAATCATCTGGATTGTATCCTTATTCAATGATTTCCGTATATAAATATTATTACTTTGCATCTTATGTATTTATATCGTTTTAATAATCCATTTATAATATTTTTTATATAATTTTTTTATAAATTTAAATTATATTTTATGATAAATGCTTTTGTTGGAAAAATATTTCAAAAGAATTTTTTGATAATTTTTTAATTATTTTTACAAATAAAATAAATCATATCTATAAAGAAATTTATATATATCAAAAAAAAATTAATATTTTTTTGTTTTTATAAAGGATATTTTTAATCTATATTATATTAAATAATTTTAATAAATAATTAATGTTTAAATTATATTTTAACAATATAATCTATATTATTTAAATATGATAGGTTTTATATATTCAAAATAATAATTTTTTTAATTAATTTTTATTTTATTCATTTTCCTCTTTATTTTTATCTAAGATTTCATCCAATATCGAACCTTATCTAAATTATTGATCCGTTTTCTTTTTCTTTTTTAAATTTTATTTTTGTATCTGAATTTTATAAACTTTATTAGTTTGCTACTATTTAATATCTTCATTATAATTTTTTTATTTCTCAATTTTTTCTTTTTAATTTTTTCTTTTATGTTTTTATCATTTATGTTTTTCAAGTCATTATTAATATTACTTTTACTTTAATTTTAATTTTATGTATTTTTCTACTAACTTAATTATTATTATTATTATTATTTTAAATTATTATGCTTTTATTATTCATATATATTTGTTTTTTTAGCCATTAATAGTTTTAAAATAGGATCAGAATCATCATCAATTTAATTTAAATTATTATTTTAATCTCCATTTTTTAATAAAGTAGATAATTGCTATTAAAATTTTTATTAGCAACCTTTTATTTCGTTTTAATTCTCTATTGCTTCTCTTAATGAGATTCCTGTTTTTTTAAATGATTAATTATTATTATTTTCTTCCTCCTCATTTTCTTAACTATTATTTTATTAGTTTTCTTATATGAATTAATTATTTTCTTATTCTAATTATTTTTGTTCTTAATTTACTTATTTTATATCTTGATTTACTTATTTTTATACATCATTACTTAATAAATTTTATTTATCAATAATTTACTTTTATTTCGTATTATTTATGTTATTATTGTGCTTTTTTTTATATTGTTTTGTTTATTATATTAAAGTTCCATCAAAAACTAACTTTCCTATATCTAACAGTTATTCTTAATTATACAAATTACCATATTTTTTGTTTTCAATCTGAATATATAAGATAGATATATATAAAAAAATTTACCATATAATCGACAAAACTTCCCCATGTAGAATTACTATATAAAGTTTCTGAATTTCCCAATACAATTTAAGCAAATTTAGCTCTTGTTAAAGCAACATTCATTCTTCTTAAATCTTATAAAAAACTATGAAGGAAAAAAAAAAATATATATATATATATATATATATATATATATTTATATAGTTTTTAAAATATATATATATTTATATATATTTATAATTTTTAATTTTTATGTTATTATTTTAAAATTATCAATATTTAATAATAACCCAATAGCTTTTTCTTTATTTTCATTATTATTTTAAACTCTTACAGTACTAAAAATTATTATATCTTTTTCTTAACCTTAAAAAGAATCAATAGTATTAATTTAAATAAATTTATGTAATTATTAATTTATATTTAATTATAAAATTTAATTAATAAGTTTTGCTTATTATTTATAAGGTGTTATTATCCCAATTGAATATTATTAATTTTCTTATTATTTTAACATATAACTACATATTTTAATTGCTATATTTGCTTCTATTTCGTTTTGGAAAGATTTTTTTATTGCTTTTTCTTTACTAAAAGAAATATCAATAAACTAGCTATTTATCCCTTTTAACCCTTTTAAATAATAAGGAAAATCTCTTTCTTTTACTATTTAAGCATCTATTAAACTTTTTGTATTTTTATTTTTAAATTTATATTTAAAATACAAATAAAAAAAAGAATATTACTTATTATTATAAAATTTTGAGGAAGGAAATTAACTTATCAAAGGATGCATTCTATATTAAGTATTTAAAAAATATGGCTGAATTCCATTATCTATTATTCTTTCAAATAAACTTCTACTGTATTTATTAATATTATTATTTGAATTAAAAGTTGTTGCTGGTAATTATTTAGGATCACCTATATTTTTGTTTTATTTTATAAAAATAATAAAATTATTATTATAAGTATTTATTATTTTTTTTCTAAAAAAAAAAAAATAAGTAAACCAATAAGTATTATTTTTTTCGGTTAATAAAATAAAGGTATAATATTAGTTGGTTCTGTACACTTTTTGTTGTTATTTTTTTTTTTATGATTAAAAAATAATATTTTTATTCAAAATAATTAAAAATATTTTACTTAAGCTGCCTCATCTACAATTACAAGTTCAAATTAATTTTTAATAATTTCTAATTTTTCACTTTAAGAACTTCCAAGAGTACAACATATAATCTATTTTATATTTATTTAAACTGAAAAAAATAAAATAAAAATAAACATCTGATAATTATAAAATTTAATCAGTAAGTTTTTTATTTAATCTTTTTTTGCTTCCCTTTCAACTTTTAACATTGAAATTTAATATTAAGCATATTTTTTATTTTAATATAATTAATTAATTTTCTCTTTATTATTCTCCCTTTTCTTCTCTTCTTCTATTTCCTAACTAATTCTAGCTAACTCAATTTAATAATCAAGTAAAGTTCCTCCTTCTTATTTTTTATTTTAATTTTCTATTGATATACCCAATCTTTATTCTACTTAATATTCCAAGCAAGCCAATTTTACTTTTTAATTTGGTCTATTAATATTTATGTATTTTATAAATATATATAATTTTATTTACACATAATCAACAGATCCGATTCTAACAACATTTACAAATTATTATTCATTATCTTCTCCATATAAACCTTATGAAATTATTCTTGAAATAATTTCATCAATTGCTTAATTTGAAGGGGCACAAACCTTAAAATTATATAAAAACTCAATACATATTTTAATCTTTTTTTATATACCATAATTTTCTAACTTGAAGTTTCGGAATTTTATTTTATATAATAATATAAACAAGACAATAAACCTAAAAGAGTATGTGTTTTTCCTGTACCTGGCTGTTTTATTTTTATTTTTCTCTATAAAAATATTATTTATAACTATTTATTACTGGTCCTTATATCATACATATTCCTTATTATGTTAGACATATTTCTTTTATTGATTAAAATTAGGATTCATTAAACTTATCTTTGATTTCATTAAAAAATGGGAATAAAATTTCTATTTTATTTAAAATAAAAATATGTCTAAAATGTTTAATTAATATTTAATTAAATTTTATTTAATAAATAAAATTAAAACATTATTTATTAAATATAAAAGAACCAAAAATTCATTAATTTTTTACAAGGGTTTGATATCGGAGTTTTATTATCTACAATAAGTTAAGGTTGATAGATAAATTCTTTTAATTCACAATATTTCATATTTTTAATAGAAAGGTATTCTCTTTATAAAAATGTATATATTTATTAAAAAAAATAAAATAAAATTACTTAATAAAAGTAGACATTTTACAAAAGGTAAAAACATAAACATTAATTTTTTGGTCCAAAAATTATTTTTAAAAACAAACACCATCAATATCAGCTAAAAAAGTGGATTATTATTTGCTATCAACAAAAGCAAAAAACAAAAAATCCTTTTAAGTCAAAAAACCTTCATTATGAAGCAAACCTAAATCAGGATTAGGAATATTAGAAATTAAAACAATATGATTTTTCAAAGTACTAATTCTATAATAGTCTTCGTCTAATTTTTAGTTACTTTATTCTTTTTATTTATCTTAAATTTTATAAATATTAAATTAATAGACACCATTTTTAGGTTATTTTTGTATTTTTATTGAACATTAATTATAATTTATATAATTTTCACTTTATTTAAACTATTAATATATTTATTAAAAATTAGATGCAGTCTCCATTAAAAACAAATATTCGAATTTCGAATAATATTCTTTCCAATTTTAAAACCTTTTTTTTTATTAAAATATATATATATATTAATATTTCTTTATAATTTTTAAACTTTTCAGGAATTTTTATATTTTCATATTTTAAATCTTTTTAGGAATAATCAAATTTCATTAAAAATTAAAGCAAATAATTTATATTATTTCTTTCTTCTTCATTCTCAAATATATTTTCATTTTAAAAAATGTCTTAATTTTCAATTATTTTATTTGTATTTAATATATCTGTAGAGTATGAGGAGGAAAGTATTTTATTTTTAAATTCTTAGTATTTTTATAAATAATCTTATTAGGAAACTTTGCATTAAATTCTTTAAAGCTTTTCTTTTTTATTCTCCATTTCTTATTTCTATTATTCTTGTAATTCTAATTGCAATAATTAAAGCTTTTTTTCTTTTTTTTATTATTCTTTTATTCTTTTTTCTTCAAACTTTCTAGCTTTTTCGTAATCTTATTAACATTTAATTTCTTTTTGTTTTTAGAATATATTTTCACTACAAAATTTAAAATTATATGGATTTTATAATTATTTCTAACTAACAATTTATTACTATTATTATTATTAATTGTATTTACCTTAAAATCTTTGCTATAATTCTACTAATGTTATTTATGATTTTTCAATAACTTTTTACTTTTCTTACTAATTTTTTATCTATTATTATTATATTTGCTCTTGATATTCTTTTTACTTTATTATATCTTGATTTTTGTCCTCTATCAATTTTTCTAATAATGAATTTTCTTTTTTTTTAAATATTTCTATTTGATATTCTTCTTCTTATTATTAATTTTAATTTTATTATTCTTCAAATAGATTTTTTAAAAAGTCTTTTATATTTTTATTTTTTTATGTATATGTTTATATTTCTGTTTCATTTTTATTTTCTTAGTTTGTATTTTCTTAATTCATTTTTATAAAATTTATTTTTTTAATAATATTTCTAAAAAAATTATGTGTTTTTTTATTTATGGAGATTTAATAAATTATATGATATTCTTTATATAAGTATTTTTTTTATTATATTTTTTATACCTCTTTTTTATATAATACAAATATTATTTATATTTTATAAAAAATATTATTTAGTTGATATTTTCAAATGATTAAAATAAATATTTTTTTATAATTTTTTTAGAAAATATAAATTTTTTAAAAAAATTGACCAAATCAATTATTCTATAATATAAATTATGTATTTTTATATGTAAATCAATTAATTTTTAAGTATATATATATATATAAAAAAAAACTTTTTTAATAATTAAATTTTCATTTTATATTATTAACTTTAAATTTTAATTTTATTAGAACTTCAAATTATTTTTTAATTGTAATTTTATATTTATTTTATTATCAAATACTTAAATTAATTTAGTTTCACTAAATTTTAAACAATATATTATAAAAATTATATTTAAAATAGAATATTTTATATAAATTTTTCATATTAAATTTTTATTAAAAATAAATAAATACATTCATATGTATTTATTATAAAAAAATATTATAAATTGTAAATAAATATTTAAATTTTTTAAATAAAATTATAAAAATGTTGAACTATTTTCTTAATATATTTGGTCTTTAAAATAAAAAATCAAGTCATATTTTATTTTTTCCTTCTTAAGAAAACGAACAAAAACTTCTAAATTTTATAAATTAAGCTAACAAAGAATTAAAAATTTGCGTTTATAGTATGACAAGTCAATCAATAGCACTAAAAATATTAGAAAAAGTAAAAAATGATAAAATAAAAGTCCGAATAATAACCGACTTATAATAAAACTCATAAAAATATAGCTTTCCTTTTGCATTACAAAGCGCTACTAATAATGATATAGAAATAAGGACAAATAATAAAAATCACGTAAAAATGCACCATAAATATGTCATAATAGATGATAAAATATTGGGTACTGGATCCTTTAATTGGACGAAAGCGGCGACGAAATTAAACTTCGAAAATTTGTTACTTATTTAAGATATTGACTTGGCAAAAGCATATTCTCAAAATTTCGAAGAGTTATGGGATTTATTTGAAGATAGCAAAATTTTGCTTAATAAAATCGATAAAAAAAGTTAACAAAAAGGATAAATATTAATCTAAAAAATAAAAATGGGCGGTTTTCCAAAAATGATAAAATAAAAAAAAAAATCTATTAAAAAAAATAAAAAAGTAGTTTAAATTACTAAAAAAATAACTAAAAAAGTTAAAAAAAGATAAAAAAAGTAAATAAATTTAAATAGTGAGGTCTTACTTAATAATAGTTAAAATAAATAAGTTTCTTTTCATGATAAAGTCCTTTAGAAAATACGCTTTAATTAATAAAAGTCTTTTATTCAATAATATTCTAAGGATTTTTTTATTTTTTTATTTTGTCTTTTACTTTTTAACTTTTTACTAAGAAAATATAGTATTTGAAAATTTTTTAACTAATGTTATTTTTTATATATTTATAAAACCATATAAATTCAATATAAAAATTTGTGAATAAAATTAATCATATATATTATAATTAATTAAATTATTGTCATTATTTATTTTATATAATCTATTAACGAAATCCGTTTATATTTTAATATTGTATTTAAATATTTAATTTATGACTTAAAGATAATATAACTCATTTATTAAAATAATATAATTATATATATATATATAATTTTCATAATACTCATATTATGAATTTAAGAAAAACTAAATTCCATAGTAATTATTTATTTACTTACACTTAAAAAAAAGAAAATTTGATTCTTAATTATAAAAAATTATATTTGTTTTTATTAACATTTTTATTTATTTTTTATTTATAAAAAATATTCTCATTATTATTTGGTTTTAATATAATTTTATTATTTTTAGTTAATTTTAAAATCAGTATTTTAATACAATTATATAATATTTATAATATAAATATATTCGATTTTTAAATTAATTTTTTTTTGTCATAAAAAATAAAATTCATAAAAATAATATAATATAAATAAAGATTAATAATATAATGGTTACTTTTTATCATTATTTACTCATATATTTTATAAAAAGTTTAGATTATTCTATTATAATATTATTAATTATTAATTTTATATAATTTAATAAATTATTTACCTCATATTTCAATTATAATTAATACAAATTTTTCTGCTTATGTTTTTAAATTATTCTTTTAAAAAAATATGATATATAATAAAG